CTATTTAAGTTTATGCGATAAGGACAATAAAAGCACAGCAACAGGATGGCTCCCACAATTCCACATTTCGCGCCCTTCACGTCGCCCAGCACAGTTGCCTTTTTCCACCACACCAACAGAAAGTGCTGCATACTTATAGGCAACCGCAATATTATCATTGTGTGCATGTGTGGCCGAGTGCGTGTGTGCAGTTATGTAATTATGGTACTTAAATAAGCACAGGCTTTTCTTTCTCGTTCCTTATTTTTGGCTTTCAAATGCTTGCAGATGATTTTCGCATTTTATCACGTAGCCGGGAGCACAAGACAAACAAAATAAGTTTACATTTTGTTGCAGTCCTTACTTATGTGGAAAACCAGACCCATAATTACCGAATTTTATATACCCTGAACCTATTGACAAGGAGTATAAAAGGTATCGTGGTTTTGGGCAAATGTATGTAACAGGCAGAAGAAAGCGTCTCCAACCCCAATCTTGGTGCTGACCATCAAAAGCTGAGTCGTTCCAGACAGTCCGAATGTCCTTCCGTCCGTCCAATTGTCCTTTCTTCCGTTTGTCCGTCTGATATTTCCCGGTTCTTATAGAAAATGTAAATCTATACGTACTATTTTGAACACGTCTACAGTTATCTACCACATAGTTAATAAAAATGCGTTAGAAGTCTACCAAATTGGGACTAAAAGTTACAATCATCGTTTTCCGGCCAGTTTAGTCTCGTGGTGAAAAGCTCTTAGCCGAAAAATAAACTTTCTTTACAACCTTTGGCTTGCATTTTCCATCCAATTTTCCGTAAACTGAAAAGCAACTCCAACAAAAAATTGTATAAATAACTTGAAAATTGAGTTTTTGGCCAGTGGGATGGTAAACAAAAATTTGTATGAAACCATTTTTCGCGATTTTGGGTTGAATTTGCCAAATAATCGTTTTATCGGGCAACTAATTATTTTGACTATCAGCACAAACAACTTTACATATAGAGAATAAATTCGCAATGTCAATAAGTAACAAAATAATTTTTACAATTATGCAAAAAAAAATCCAATCCAATTAAACATTTTTTTGGAAAATAGTTGGACCTAAGCTTAGATTCGGCTGCTCTTAAGCCAGCTAATCCGGTTTAGGATTAATTTTATATAAAATACAAAGTTGGTAATCAGACTTCAAACAATTTCGGTTTGAGCCCGGCAATTTTTTTTTTAGAAATAATCCATAAATGGGACTTGTCACTTCGTTACTCAAACATTTTTTGCATTTAAGCCCTCTGACAGCCTAAAGGCAGTTGCTTATTCAACTGCAAATCAAAACTATATTGGCCAAATATTTGCCTACGCAAATGCTATACTTTGTGTTCTTTTTGCTGATTATTTTGCAATTAAAAATGCAAATGAACCAAACATCTAGCACACACATTAAAGTCAGCAGTGGCCATTTCCAGCCCTATTCATAACAAGCTATAGCTACGGTTGGAGTATGAAGGTGAGCCCATAAGAAACACCTGATATTGTTTTGATATTAAGTTAGTTTAAGGAGCCATATAATATTATCATCAGCTTAATGATACTTTTATCTATTAACAGTCAAATTCTGCCAACTAACGATGCAAATATGCAACGTTTTCCCGGCACCTATAACACTATGGGGTACGTTTGAAGAGAATCAGTCTGACAAACAGACGGGTAGAACTCGGCAGTTGACACAGGAACAAGAATCAATTACGTTATGTCTTCTAATGATGTTGCCTTAACAAGTTTAGAAGAGCCTTTACAATGATGGGGGCGAAATAAATAAATCACAAAATAAAATTAAGTTATTTGAATTTTGAAGGGCTTTACCGTCGCAGATATGGCTTTGTTTGATTTTTAATCGCTTTCTTTCCGTTTTGAAGATCAAATTTAGACCATAAAATTAGTTGCGTAACCATTATAGTGAATTTATATTATTCACAACAAAATAAATATGTTTGCATTTTTAAATCACAACAGACACAAAAGTTGCGAAAATCAAATGTCACTAGCCTTTAGTTCGACTTTGTCGTCTAATCGCTTGGCGAGACAAATAAACCACAATATGTGGCTAATGCTGGCGCCACAGATGCCACCAAATGATGGGCTTTCACTTTTCGTGTCATTTGCAAAACGGTAGCGCCATCAGAGTCGGAGCCAGAGCCAGAGCCAGAGTCGGAGCCAGAGCTAAGTAAGGCCAGAGGCAGACCAATATGCGATAAGTAGTATTCACCTTTCACACGACTCCCCGCGCGCATACGAATGAGCTCATTAAGCGCGTCTGCTTCTGGGCGAATAGAATGAAAACGAATTCGAAACGAAAGCACAAATCAAAAATACAAGAGTGAGTAGTGTGTATGTAGTTTGAATGTATTCTAAAGAGCACCCACAGCTGTCACAGCCGTAAGCAAAACAGGTGAGAGATGCGCTGTTGCAATTATAAACTCACGATTTGCTACTCGACGTGCGCTCAAAAATGAAATCAAGCGACAATTGTTTTGATTATGTGATGTGCTACGAATTGAATTCGTAGCTCATTTCTGCTTTGCTGTTTTCATTTGGAAATAATTTCACATTTAAAGCGATTAAATTTCGCTTGTGGCCTTGGTCAGCTGATGTGCCCCTCAAAGAGGTGTGTTTGCCTTTGTCTTGCTACTTCAATTACTTGACTTTATTTTGATTTGATTTTTACTTTGTTGGCCCATGTCTCGTTGCTCGCTGATGAATGGTTTCCCATAACCTGCATACACATCATTAGATAGTGTATACACTGTTGTTAGACAAGTTTTCATTTGCTACTGGAAAGTAATTTACAGCAAATTGAACATTGTAACCCATGGTGCGTATGATTAATTAAAATAATTGAACCAAACCAAACAATAACGAAGCTAAGCTACTTGAGTGAGAACAAAAAAGTTTGTAGAATTAATTAATTTACGCGCACAAACATATCACAGGGAATGAATCAGACTCTGAGTTAATAATTTGAGCAGCAAGAAACTCATAATAGGGCAAATAATATGGTATATTCAGCTTAATTCTATTAATTTATAATCCCAACACTAGCTTACAATTCGAATGTACTTAATTTCTATGAAAAAGGGTAAATTAATATCAAGAATATGAAGTAGACGTAAAAATATGGCTAATTATGTCAATGAAATATATGTTATTAGTTTAAATAAGCTCCAAAATTGATTGAAAATTTAAGTCTTATAATCAGTTGCACTTTTGCGTGATTTTTCTTTGATTGCCAATTAGAGAATTGAGAATGTTCTATGCTTAAGTAGAAGTATTTTTGGTAAGCCAGGGTCAATCTACAAGACTATCTGCAACAGACCACAAGCAATAGGCAGCACTGCTCAGCATAATAATGATATTCAACGAATTGTTTACAGTAATGATCAATTATATGCCACTCAAATTATCTAAGCAAAGTTTCTCAAAGGTATTCGTAAGTGTAATTTGCTCGCACATCATTTGTATTCATATATTCTCGTAAGTTATTTGACATTTAACAGACGCTTCTGCCTGACCAAGTCCAGCAGGCAAGATTCAATTGCAATCAACAATCAGCCAAACTCATCAGTGTCATTCACAGTAGCCATTCATTTTGGCTAATAATACCACAAAACATAGAAATGTTATCATAATATACCTAGAGACAATAGACAAACAGACCCAGCCAATCTTTCAGCTCAGCGTAAATATTTGCTAATTAAACATTTCTACGTGAGTTTTTATGTATACATATGCATATATGTATATAAGTATTTTTTTTTTTATATACATGGGCAATAATAATAAATTTGACATCATTGCGCGTAAAAGCATAAAATGAACAGGCAAGCCTTGTTATTTATAAATGTAAACGGCTGAGCATCTGCTGGCGTGTTGGTCAGCTGAAAAAGCGCAGCTTGGCTTGATGAATTCTCAGCATCTCAGCATTGAACCTTCTGACACGGCTTAGCCGCAACGACCTAGTGATCAATTAATAGCAATAATAATAATATTATTAGCTAATGCTATTTGAACATATCGGCTGCTCCCCAAACCCCAACAGCTTTACGCATTCGCTTAGCCGTTATCTATTTACCTTCAATTTACAATTCATTTGACAGAATGCCGACGATGACGACGCTTGCGCAGACGCCAACGTCGCCGGCTTTGACTCCGGCTTGGACTTGGACTTGGTAAATGAAGTTACCTGGCCTTGTCGCGCGCCAGTCTGTGCTTAACATTTGCCCGTCGCGCTTGGTAGTCGAACTACCCGCACAATCTTGATCGCGTCAGCCAAGCTGCGACACTCGGCTGTTATATATTTTTGGCAAAGCGTAAAGCGGCTTAAATTATAGAATCCAATTTGCTTTTAAATTAATAAGCGTGCAGCGTTTCTTTTTTAGCCAAAATGCCGCTGTACAAATTCAAACCGGTAATTGCCAAAACGGGACTCAAGCTAACCAGTGCACAAACAACAATAAATTGCTCAAAAACCTGTGATTGCTTGTACAGATACAGATACAGATACAGATACAAATGCTTTGACATGGCCAAATACTAACTAAGACTAATTAATATCTGAACTGATATATTCAGATCCAATATTGAGTACTAAAATATAATAAATTAAAATGCCTAAAAACAAGTTTAAAATTATAAGTTGTATACAAATTGACTTTGCAGTCCCATTTTACAAGCTGTACATTAAAATTGATTTCATTTGACAGTTCCATGTTTTGTTACCGTTTAACAAGGACTTCCAAAGCACGTGCCAAACTGATCCTTTAATCCTTGAAATGTTCGATTTCGTTTTTGTATATTGTGGCTTGCTCTTTTGGAACATATTAAATATGTATTCAAATATACTTTCATATTATATATTTTCCCAAACGACTCCTGTTTAACAATCCTAAATAATATATAAGGATATTTCAAAGCTTAAGTGTTGCTGTATGGTTTTCGGAATTAATTCACTTTGATTTTATGTAGCCTTGACTAAAACTCCACTTCCACTTACAGCGCTTTTATGCAGCATTGCTGCTCTTCATCTGCTTCGGGTTGAACGCTCAGACATCGGTGGCAGCTCCAGTGCCACGCTTCGACGATAATCTCGTTGCATACCCAAATGCGCCGAGTGAGGTGCTGCCTATTGAGCCGCTGTTAATCTATCCAGAGTCACGCGAGGTGATTTACCAGGCACGCACGCTGGCCGGCGATGGTGAGCGAGACATTATCTTCGTAAAGCTACTGCCGGACAAGTCGGAGGGCTATCGACCCAAGCAGCAGCGAATCGCGGAGAAGGAGCAGCGCCGCAAGGAGCTGGGCCTGAAGGACATCTTCTTTGTAAAGGCACGTGCCAACGGTCAATTCAGTCACGAGCGCTTAAAGGTCTATCGACTGCCCGAGTTTTATGCGATCAGTGTGTTCCGCAACGACGAGAAGTAGTCGGGCGACGGGTAGCTCTGGCTGCTGCACCCACGATGCAGTCCGCTCTTATTATTTTTATGTTATGTATAAGCCGCTATAAATAAATGCCTCAAAAGTTGTTTAAGCGTTGCTGAAAAGCTCTTATCAGACACGCTTTGGCGCGACGATTTACATGTCATTTCAATTATCCATAACAAAGCAGCCGCCATTGTCGCTGAATGATGGGTGGCGGGGCATCAGCGCCACTACCCCAACAATGCCCCAACCAACTTCAACTTCAACTCCATGCGCTTCGCGCCGGGTTCGCGTCAAGCGGCAATTAATAACTGTCAGTCAAGTGGTTGGCACAACTAAAGCCAAGTCAAAGCTCCAGCCTCACAACAAAGAACTAATCCCTTTTGTCATTGGGCGTCGCAGACCGCAGGCCAAACATTACGTCAAATTCATAGAAAGCAAAAAATAGCAACAGAAAACCATGAATGGAAACCTATTTCCAAGCCGCTATCGAAATACACTTTCTAAACAAGCTAGTTGATAGTGCACAATAGTTTGGAGATATTGGGCACGATGTGAGCATAAAAGTAAAACCGTTCTGAAAGCGGTAAGAAATCTAAGCAATTTGTGCTTTAATACGAATAAATAGTTGTCTTGGCATTGACGAATATTAAATACCCTTCCTGACATATAACGATTCACCATTCCTCGTCAGAGGACTTCGATTAGTATAAAATGTTAGAATTATAATAATGTGTTAATTCAATTATTATATTAAATATTATATATGATTATGATAAAAACTTTCGTTGTAAAGTTTAACCCGTCACAGTTCATATCAAGAAGAGTCTCCAATTCTTATTAAGCTCTACAGACCCTTATAAAAGGAATTAAAGAAAGTTTCAACCGATTAAAACTTAATACCAATAGTTCTAGGGCGGACAAGACAAATCTTCTACTTGATCGTAATAAGGAAGATAATTAAGATTCAGATCCCAATTGGTAATTATGATCTTTATGTCTTAGAAAACACAAGAAACGCGGACAATCTACCCGACTTTAAAATCTATGCGGCCTACACGGACAGACAACAAGATAAATAGACAGACGGACAGACAACAGGATAAATAGACAGACGGACAAACAGGATAAATAAACAGACGGACAAACAGGATAAATAGTCAGAGGGACAGACAGCTTGGGATTCGGATATAAAATCAGAAATAAATATGTGTATATAAATTATAGAGTCAGAAAAATATATCATAAATAAATGTTCTGGTCTCAAGATGTAAAAAATAATAAATATGGGCTTACGGAGGTTGGTATATAATAAAATCCTATTTAGATCATCTTAAATCACTGTTGTTGAGGCAATCCAATAAAAGGAGTCCATCAATGTGTTACAAACGTTGTGCTGCACCAGAAAGACCCGTTTGAGGAATCTGCGCCATACCGACAAATTATTCAAAATTTGTTCGGCTTGTTAACTCCTAATGCAGACTTTCGCTCAACTATTTGGGTGTTCCAGGCACGTTCCCATCTTTACAATTCAGCACACGCATTTGCTCCACTTGCGAGATGGACTTAGAAGACACTAGCAATTTTGCTTGGTCTACAAAACACGCTCGTACATAGCGATTGGATCGTCATAGTTATGGAATTTAATTAATTACTAAACGAAGCACAAGCAGCTCCAAAATGATGTTTATAATATTAATAGATGTTGGCGCACGACTAGCTGACCATCAGTCGTGGTGCAATGTTCATGGACATGAGCTCCTGGAAGAGCAGCTTGGCCGCGTACGGCAGACGCACCTGCGAGATTTGCGTCTTGTTCTTGCAACCTTTGCACTCGAACGTGTTGTTGCGCAAATTGGCAATAGCAATCAGGCCGCAGAAATTGCAAATGTGTACGCGATAAGGATCAGACACCTCGAATAGTCGCTCGCGCAGGAACTGTGCGGCACCGTGAGAGATTTGACAATCGCGCTCCATTTCACCGAAACGCAGACCGCCGTCACGCGCTCTGCCCTCCATGGGCTGTCGCACAAGAATCTGCACAGGTCCGCGCGCACGTGAATGGATTTTGTCGTCCACCATGTGCTTGAGACGTTGATAGTAGGTGGGACCAAGAAATACCTGCAACAGAATAGTATCATTCGATTAACTCAAGACTAACAATAAGGATTTGCGATCTGCGACTAACCTGCGCGTTGATTTTGCGTCCGGTGTGGCCGTTGTACATGACCTCATTACCACGCAGATGATAGCCATACTCCTGCAGGAAAGTAGATATCTTTTGCACGTTCACGGCATCGTTGAAGGGCGTGGCATCACCAATTTCGCCCTTATTGGAGCCCAGCTTGCCCTGCAAGCACTCGATCAAATGACCAATTGTCATACGCGAGGGAATAGCGTGCGGATTGATGATAATGTCTGGCGCCAAGCCCTCGCAGGTGAAGGGCATGTCCTCTTGCCGATACTGTATGCCGCAAGTACCCTTCTGTCCGTGACGCGAGGCAAACTTGTCGCCGATCTGTGGTATGCGCACTGAACGCACGCGAATCTTGCAGAACTTATAGCCCTCGCTGTTCAGTGTCAACATAACCTGATCGACAATGCCCGTCTCCGAGTTACGCAAAAACGTGGAGGCATCACGCTTAGCGAATCGCTTCGTATTGCTGTCCAGCTCATCATCGTTCTCGGGCAGCGTTATTGTCTTGCCTATGACGACATCATCTCCAGAGACACGTATGCCAGGAGCAATGATGCCATCGTCGTCCAGTTTGTCATAGTGAGCGTTGCGCATGCCCTGGCATGTGCCGCGATGCGGTTTCTCAAAGTTCTCTTCCTGATCACCGACGCGTTTATTCTCGGCATCCTTGTACGAACGATAGAACACTGAACGGAAGAATCCACGCTCCACTGCCGAGGCATTCAGAATGACAGAATCCTCCTGGTTATAGCCAGTGTAGCACAGAATTGCAACAATTGAGTTGATACCCGCAGGCAGCTCACGGAAACGCAAGTACTCCATGGAGCGAGTTGTAACCAACGGCTTCATGGGATAATAAAGCACATGCGCCAAGGTGTCCATGCGCACATGGAAGTTGGTTATATAGACGCCCATGGCCTGCTTGCCTAGAAGGGAAAATGGTTAATAAACAGTTTACACAATTCGATTGCCTTCCGCTTACCCATAGCACTTTGATATGTGTTACGTGGACTCTGGTTGTGATCGGGGAAGGGTATAATGGAGGCACAAACGCCCAGTATCATGGCCGGATGAATCTCACAGTGCGTGTAGGTGGTACAATATGCGTAGTCTTTGTCCTGTTTGAGATCGTAGGGCGACATGGCAATCATGACCGTCTCCTCCTCGAGTGTGTCAATGTACTCAACGACACCAGAGGCAACCAGCACCTGCCAGCTGTAGTTGTTGTAGTCTCGCTCCTTCAACATCTCCACGTGCGTTTTCTTCAACAGCAGCGTGCCGTTTTCCACAATAAGCAGTGGGCGACATATGCGGCCAGCGTCCGTGTAGATTCTGATCTCACGATCACGAATGTCGCGAATCATGGACACCTCGGACACAATGATATCCATCTGGCGGCGCAATTTACGCAGCGTTGCCATCAACTGCTCCGGATCTCGATGAATGCCCACCCAGCAGCCATTGACGAAGATTTTGGTCGCATCCGCAATCGCCGAGGGTGCAATTTCCTCTAGATTTTCCATTGACCACTCTTCCAAGAATTCCAGAATCGGCGACGGTTGTGAACCCACCGAAATGTAGGCCATAAGTGCCAAATTCTTGACCAAACCCACAGCTGCGCCCTCAGGTGTCTCTGCCGGGCACAACATACCCCACAGGGTGTTGTGCAACTGACGCGGCTTGGCCAACTTGCCGTCGCGTCCGATGGGCGAGTTGACACGGCGCAAATGGGACAATGTGGAGGCAAATGTGAGACGATTCAACACCTGCGAGACACCGGCACGAGCCTGATGAGCCTTCTTCTGATCACCCCAGTTGCCGGTGGCCAGCGAATAACGCAGACCATCTGTAATAATGTTGGTCTTGATAGCCAGCTCCAGATTGAAGTCCTTTCCGCGATCAATGAATTTCTGTGTGTACATGCGCACCTCCTTCATTAAGTTCTTGAAGAGCCCGCGGAAGAGGAAGGCTAACAGCGGCCCAGCCAGATCCAAACGTTTGTTGCCATAGTGATCACGATCGTCGAGTTCACGGCGACCCAGCGAGGCCAGCAGCAGGCGATGCACCATGTAGCCTAGGAAATATGCCTTCTTTGTCTCGCAAAAGTCAGAGACTCCCACATGCGGCAGCATTTCTTTCTGCAGAATCTCCTTGGCGTATTTTATGCGCTTGTCCTTGGTAACTCCGGGGCGTGCTCCACGAGCGCCTATGAAATTCAAAGCGACATTTTGCTCCTGCACGACGAAGGCTTCGTCCAGTGAGGGCTTTACCATTTCCATCATCTCTGGATCGTCAAAATCGTAAATGATGTGCTCCAATATATCGCGATCAGCAACAAAGCCCAATGCCCGAAACACAATCATAATGGGTATCTCCTGCTTAATGTACGGCAGAATGGCAATGATACGCTGTCCAATCGCCGACTTCTTGATGTTCTGCGAGCCACGCGCCATCATGTTCACCCAGAGTGTTGAGGTGGGACGCGAGCTGTGTTCTAGGCATGAGCGTATTTCCGTTTTAAAGGCGTACTTGCCGTCCTTCATGCTGAAGACGTACACGGTGTTTGTAGCCATCTTCTCTTGCGCAATTAGCACTTTCTCCGAGCCGTTTATAATAAAATAGCCACCGGGATCCAGGGGGCACTCATTTAACTCGGTCAAATCACGATCCGTAAGCTGGGAGAGCAGACAATAAGTCGATCTCAACATGATGGGAATTTTGCCAATGAAGGTTTTCTGATGCTGCGTCTCGACGGGATCCATGCCCTCAACATTTTTTGTCTTTGTTATATCCACATAAAGCGGAGCTGAGTAGGTCAAATTGCGCAAGCGCGCCTCGTTGGGCATCATGGGACTGGGCGAGCCATCCTTTTCCCAATGCGTCGGCTTGGACAAGTAAATCTGTTCGAATTTCAGCGAAAACCGAGGCGGCGTCTCTACCTCGCCGGACGTATGCTGCGCCTCCGCCTGCAGCTCAATCGCCGGCGAGTCCTCCACAATGCGCTGCACAGACATTTGGATGAACTCGTCAAAGCTGTCCAGCTGCTGACGCACCAGGCCCTTTTCGTCGAAATAGGCGTTGATCACAATCCAGCAGGCCTCCTGCCACAACTCGTGCGAGATTTCCTCTGCATTCTCCTCATCGAAATTCTCTGCAAAAACCAACTATGTTCTTACTATTTCACACACAGGAACGCTAGCGCTCCCGCCGCCATGTTAGTTTTTGGCATGCGGCGTGTTTTGCAATTTTCGCCAAGTTTTCTTACCTTCTTCATTCTCGTACATCATTTTGCGCAAATAGCTTTATTATGCACTAGGTGCGCGTAAGAAAATAGTAGAATAACTTATCTACAATCTTCAAATTGTTTAATATTTTATTGAAATTGCTACGAAAAAAAAACTGCAAGCACCGCAAGCTGCGGCGATTTTGTTGGACTAGTGGGGAAACTATCGCGTCACTAATGTATCGATTCTTTTCAGTGTTTAACAACGACATATCACCTATCGATAATTCAAAAGGGGTTCTGCATCAACACACTGTGAGATATTTTTTATAGGCATTCATATATAATATATTATTTTATTTTGCCACCAACTTGCAATAATATAATATGGACAATAAAAAAAACACCAATACATATGACAACGGACGTACGTGTGTTAAGTGATGTAATCAAAACACACAAAATTAAGAAAGCTTATAGGCAAAATAGCTACCGCTTAGCCAAAATATATATATATATTTGATAATAATAACTAACAGTTGTTATTAATTTCATGGTCTACCAGCTACAGAAAGAAGTGGTGCACTACAATTTAGTGTTTTAAGCATGGATGATTATTACGTTCATCTCGTTGCGCTCTGTAGGTTTTATTAATTTGCATTTCTTACTCTGTCCAACATAACTAATCGATTATACTCGATTATATTATTCGACTCATGTTTTGTTTGCAACCATCGTGTCGATATGGCGGGCACATAACTAGCAGCTGATATTAGCTGTTTGTACCGTACATGTTTTTCTTGTTTTGTTATTTAACGCCGAACTTCACATGAGGTTTTTCACAAAAAGTGGTCGATTCTTGATTGCCGGCATTCTGCCGGGAATTGACCGCAGCGCCGACGATGTTGTCGACAAGGAAAGCAAAACCTACAAATCGTTCTTGGCCAACAAGCCAACCGAAGAAACGGGCTTGGAGCGTCTGAAGCAAATGCTAACCGTGGAGTAAGTGCTAGATGCGAAGACATGGCGCTGCGATTATTAATTTGGCGATATTTTACTAGTGAATTCGGCAGCATATCCTCAGAGCTGAACTCAATATACCAGGTGGGCTTCCTTGGCTTCCTTGTGGGGGCCATCTACGGAGGTGTTACACAATCGCGGGTCAGCTACATAAACTTCATGGAGAACAATCAAGCGACAGCGTTCAAATCGCACTTTGATGCCAAGGTAAAAGTCGCTTAAGTCGGACCATGAACAATTTAACTAGAGTAACACATTTACTTTGCAGAAAAAGCTGCAGGATCAGTTCACAGTGAATTTCGCCAAGGGCGCCTTTAAATGGGGCTGGCGTGTGGCTCTGTTTAGCACCTCCTACTTGTAAGTGAACATTAATTGTGATAGCTACCTGAAGCCTAACGAGTTGTCTCTTCCGCCAGTGGCATCATAACGTGTATATCTGTTTACCGCGGAAAGTCCTCCATTTACGAGTACCTGGCTGCGGGCTCGCTCACGGGAGCTCTGTACAAAGTCAACCTGGGTCTGCGGGGCATGGCTGCTGGCGGCATCATTGGTGGGTTTATGGGTGGTGTCGCGGGCGTAGCTTCGCTGCTGTTGATGAAGGCATCGGGCACCTCCATGGAGGAGGTGCGCTACTGGCAGTACAAATGGCGCTTGCAGCGGGACGATACCATTCAGCAAGCCTTCAAGAACCAGGCCCAAAAGGATGCGCCCGAACTGTTTACCGCGCATGATAACCGCGTGGGCGAATCGGTCACATTGGACTCAATCAAGTGAATCAACTCGTTGTAAATTTAGCTTGTTTTTATTTAAATAATAAATTGCAATAATGTCCTTTAGAAGTTATACAGACAATACAATTAGGGAAGCCCAAGTTGGCTGCTGCTATGCGTTGTTTCAGTTGATGCCTAGTGCAACTAAGGATACAGATATGACTCGGATACATTTGAATAACATGAAAATGGAGCACACAATTCAAATGCAATAAATTAAATGCTTTTGCGAGAAGAACAGGAAACAGTTTGGCTCGATGGGCTTCAGACTTCTTCTTCGTTGGAGGGACGCGTCAGGCGCTTGGCCCCGCGATTCGGTGGTCCTTTTGGCTTTGCAAAGGCTGGGCGATGCAATATCTTTTTGGGATGCAGTTCCTCCTGCAGATACTCCTCGGTGAGTTCGTCGCCGCTGTCGATTTCCAGCTGTATTGGAAATAAAAATAAGTCAAAAGCTCTTCGCACTGAGGCTAATCTCTCACCTTCTTGGCAACTTCCACGCCGTATGCGGCCAACTCTTCAAGAAATGGAGCCTTACAGCTCGAGTACATCATGCGCTCACGCACGGAGCAAGAGTATCCTGGCATGGAGTATATAAATACAAAGGACTCCATATAGTCGCCCTCGTGGGTGTGCTTAAACAAATACAGATGGTAACGCGCGTGATCTTCGGGCACCTGCTTTGGCAGATCGCGCAATTCCACATTTGCGGCATGGGAGACGTGAATGCGTTCCTCCTCCAGACTGATGCGAAACTGCAAATAGTCGTAGGTGCCGCGCAACATATCCCGCACCGCTGCGCGTGTTGCCTCCGTCAGTGGGCAGGAGATGCCGCTGAGCGTCTGGTGGCGCGTCTCCGTGGATATCTCAGTGCGCACCTCGGACCGCTGCAGCTCCTTCATCTCCTCCTCGCGCATGGTGAGCGGCGCAGGCGCGGAAAATTCACGCTTATGCTTTTTGTAGCCCTCCAGCGTGGTTTCCTCCAGAGTCGTAGCGTGCAGCTCCTCCGATATGTACGCCGAACCGAATTCGTTTTTAAGCGTTGCCTTTGTCGATGCGTAGACCATTTTCTGGCGAATGCTGGCTGTATCTGGAGTCCAGCTGATGAGCAGCCAGCCATAGCCTAACGGTATCTTTGCATCCAGACGGTACAGAATATAGCAGGGCACACTCTCCTCAAAGAGCGGAGCCAGCAGCTTGTCATAGTCACGTTCCCAATCTTTTTTCACATCAGCTGTGGCGCTGCAGCTGAGCTGTTCTGCGCGAGCGAATTAATGACCGGAAGTTAGTTAGTTACCGGATGTATATAGATATGATTATGTGTGTGATTGTATGTGTGTGCTGGATATTCCACTCACCGTTTTCAATTGACACTTTTATCACCCGTATTTTACCATTTTTGGCCTTGCCAAAAACTTTCGCTAGTTGCTCGTTGGCTGCCAATGGATAATATTGTTCTTAATAAATTGTATATATATGTGGCCTCAGTCTAGAGCTTACCTTTGATTCCCGTTTGATGCGACATGATAAACTAAAAGTTAGTGCTCTTTAAGGTCTTAATTCTAAACGGCGAAAAAAAACTGTATTACTCACAATAAAAATAGCGGTGCTGCCAGCTCTTTCTATTTTAATGGTTTACCTGGCATCACTTGGTCTTTGTTTACATTTTGCAGCGAAACATTTTACCATCTGGCAGCGCCAAATAAGTGCAGTGTGACCAGATGCTGTATCAATTACTCGAGTGTTTGACAGCACTGTGACTTACTCTGTGTTCTTTTCACGTCCGTAAAATGTAAAACGGAAACTTTATTAATTTGCATTTAAAGCGACACAGTCCACCCAAAAACATATTTCAAGTGCAATTGTGCAGTAAAGCAAGTGAGTGCACATTAAAGCTGGGGGTCAGCTAGCGTGCAAAGCGCAAAACGCTGCACGGTCTAATTACTAATCAGCACAGCTCTGCGTCCATGTCTCTTTCGCTATCTCTGTCTCTGCCGACGTCAGCGTCAGCGCCGTCACCGCCCTACTGCGAATGTTTACTTCCGCTTGTTTACAATGTGAAAATTGAAAAAAAGAAAAGAAACTGAATTGTATATCCGTGTGCTTGTGCCCATTGCAGTACCCATACCCATGTTAACCGAAGCCCCCATGGCCAGTGACAACATAATGGACGAATTAGCATCTTTGATACGCACCGAAATTCCCGATGGTCGCCAGAGCCTGCGCGACAGCTACACGAATCTGGAGCGTGTGGCCGACTACTGCGAGGACACCTACTATCGCGCCGACAATAAAAAGGCCGCCCTCGAGGCTACCAAGAACTACACCACCCAATCCTTGGCCAGTGTCGCGTATCAGATCAACACGCTAGCCTATAGCTACATGCAGCTGCTGGACTTGCAGGCGCAGCAGCTCAGCGAAATGGAGTCGCAGATGAATCACATTGCTCAGACGGTGCATATACATAAGGAGAAGGTGGCCAGGCGGTAATTCTATAACAGCCCGCAAACCTTCGGCAGTTGCTCAAATATGTTTGTTTTTATCTTAAAGCGAGATTGGCGTTCTGACGGCCAACAAGGTGAGCTCGCGCCAGTTCAAGATAGTGGCGCCCATTAATCCTGAGAAGCCCATCAAGTATGTGCGCAAGCCCATTGACTATTCAATTCTGGATGAGATTGGGCACGGCATCAATTCGTCAACCCAGCACGTTGTGAGACAGAAGCATAGAGGCTCGAGTCATGGCTCTGTGCAATCTCTGGTGCCGTCATCTGTTGGCCCACCGCCCACCACCAAGCCGCCGACGCCGCCGCAAATGTCGCGTGCCGGCAATACAGGCACTCTGGGCAAATCGGCCAGTAATACCGGCACGCTGGGCAAGAGCTCGCGGGAGTATCGCACGCCGCCTGTGGTCAATCCACCGCAGGTACCTTCGCACTATGCGCCCAACTATCCAATCGGACATCCCAAGCGCATGTCCACGGCCTCGTCCACAACCACTACCACTGGCGGTGGTGCAGCGGGCAACGAGCGAGCTGCTGGCTACAGCGCGCTGCCCATGCCACCCAGTCAGCAAATTGCTACGCACGTGAATCTGCCCTCGGCGGGCATGATGCAGTCGCTACCACCGCCGCCGCCCACCACTTATGACGACCGGAGCAGCATGCCACGTAAGTTGAGCGACTTTAATCAATTTCAAATAAAAAAAAATACAATCTCATGCGCACCCTTAGCAGCGCCCCCTTCGCCGCTAACCGTCTCGCAGCACGAGATGACCGAGCAGAGCCACATTGGCATGCATACCCTGGGCCGCAATATCAACAGGTAAGCAACTGCACAGATTATGCCCTCATTATTATCTTGTATATAACTCTCGTATTGTACTTTTAAATACCATCTGCTTGCTTGCACAGGAATCCCAATAGGTAAATTGCATGCTTCTACTGCAAACATAAATGGAATTTGTATTAATATTTTTGTATGGATAGAAATCATTTCAGCTTGAACTTTGCGCGCCCTGGCTCCCAATCGCCACCGTTGCCGCCACCACCGCCGCCGGAGGATGAGCACCAGGACTTTGGGCGTCCACGCACTTCAACTGGGCCACAATTAGCGCCTATTGTGCCGGAGGATCAGAATTTGCCTGGTTGGGTGCCCAAAAACTACATTGAGAAGGGTAAATAGCAGGGCACATGGAAGCCAAACACTCTCGTATTTTAAATTGTTCTATATATTGTTTCAGTGGTGGCTATTTATGATTATTACGCCGACAAGGATGATGAGCTGAGCTTCCAGGAGAGCTCGGTGCTCTATGTACTGAAGAAGAACGATGATGGCTGGTGGGAGGGAGTTATGGACGGTGTTACCGGTCTGTTTCCTGGCAATTATGTGGAGCCCTGTGTCTAAGCACTGCCAATGGAATTAACAATAACAATAATATGCATTATGACAAAGACGATAACGATTTCCGGATATTGATAATGATAATTATGTAACTACAGCCACAGCGCAGCTCTAACAAGTATTCCACTAGCATAAACTGAATGGCAACTAGCTGCATATAGTTAAATATGTATAAGTTGTCATCGCACACTCATACACACTCACAAATGCACACACACACACACACACTCCAGCAGCAATTGTCAAAGCATTTATATGAGAGCGCTCGCTATTTTCTACGTAAACGTAAACTATTAACTAATTAAATATCCTAATAGTCAAAAATAGCCCAAAGTAATGAAAAATTCAAGAAAACCGAGTACACATATAAATATGACCTATTTAGTATACTGACATAGACGAATTCGGCCCCCAGTCATAAAGTGGTTCAATATTTGCCAGCGCTTACAACAATTTTTGTGAGGAGCTTCTTTTTTTTGTTTGTTTGTTTACTTTGCGCTTGCAACACGCCCACACCACCCACAACTCCCGCAGTGACGTAGGTTATACGAATTTCAGTTAGCATTTAGCTTTTAGATATTGGCCAGTTGGTTATACAGTTTTTTTATACACACATACATATAATTATTTACAATACAACAATATACATATATAAATATTATTTGCGACAATGCATACTGAAGATTTAGTTAAAATTAAATTACAAACATGAAATCAAATTAAATTTATAAAATATACAAGCACATGCATTATATGGTATAATAGCTAATAAAAATTTCAATTTTCAAAGCCCTTGTAGTTTGACCATGGCACGAAGGCTTGACCTTTTCGTGCCGGATGCTCGTATGCCAGGCTAAATCTCTTATTCAAATCCGGACTCAAGTGAAAGTGTTCAGAAAAAATGCAAATGCCAGTCCTTGGCATGCACCCAGCCTAATGACTATGACTGACGCGCACTTTGATCGTGCCGCGGGTGTTATGAATGACCTCAATTAAAGGCATACAAATGCCAACACTCATCGAACTCGCGCCCAATTCTATCAATCAATCAAATTTCAATTGCGAGTGCATAAACAATTTACATTTCAATGTCGCGTCCGGAAAAGGAAATCGGGCTGCCCACTCCGCCCGCTCCGGCCAAGAAGACACGGAAATTAACGCTTTCATGCTGATATGTGGCACTTTTCACTTGCAACAATTGATTATCAAGCGCAGCCCGTTTAAAACGAGTCGGATCGGGTCGAGTCGAGTCGCTGTGGCGTGGCATGAGCTCAATGTAGCGGAAATGTTTCAACCTTCCTTTTGGGCTGGTCCTTGTCGCTGGCCAGACGCGAGACGCGAGTGGGCTTTAGAATGGGAATGGGAATAAGACTTGAACATGAAGTGATTTGCATAAGAAAGGTTCAAGTGAAGAAAATGACTCTTTGTTCGACCAATCCATACAGACCTAATTCCATACAATTGAAAAGAGTTCTATTTCAATTCTATACAAATGCTTTCTGCTCTAAAGATTGGAGAATGTTTTCTACAATTAGAACAAAAAAAAATTTTAAAAAAATATTTTAAATTTTAAATAAAAAAAAAAAAATTAAATTGATAAACAATTATTTCTTTAATTTTCAATCTATTCTTAAAGAATTGTATAAAATATATAAAAAATTTTGTTTTATTCACAGACAAAAACGTTCTCTAAGAGAAACAGAAATTCTTAGATTTTCCAATTGCTTTATTTTCCCCAAAGGCTCAACTAATATATCCATTAGTAATTTAACTACTTAAGTGCACTCAAGGACCTTAATTTGTATTTACCCTTTATTGATATTTTAGCGGTATTGTTTGCGTTGTGCGGTAACCGTCACTTGCCGTAATACCTATGAACCCTAACAATTACAAGTACACTCACATCCAAGATTCCCCGCCGCCAGCCGCCAGCCGACCCATGCCCCGAACTGGCCAACGTCAAAGAAATGTATGCAAAATGGCGCATTAGCATTTCAACAATTCGGAAAACAAGTGGAATGGAAATACCAACAACAACTGAGAAATTGATTGAGCTATGTGGCCAGCACACAACACCAGCCGGCAGTTGACGCCGCCCCAAAAACCCAGCCAGGTATACATGCTATATGCTCGCTATAATTTGACCAGAATGGGCCAGGACAGAGTCCAATAGAGCCGGCCGACTATTCAGTTCAGTTTTGTCAGTCCATGCGAACGGTTCGCTGGCAACGCGAGCGACAAGTCGGATTTCCATCGAGTACTTCACAGCGGAAGTGTCCCTATATATTTGTTAAATCTTGCATACAGTTCAAATAGTTTGTGAGTGCGGCATTTTGCAGAGGTACTGAGAAACTTTGCTTACGATTGGCCAAAAGTTGTGTTCTTTTATGGTACATTAAATCGATGATAAGTTTGGAGTTGGACTATTGTTATGAGTGGCTGTGGGGTCCGGTCCTTTAGCTGTTGGCGCATATAATTGACCTACTTGGAGGCGCTTGCCTGGGCCGCTTATCGCGGCCATCGCTACTCGCACGGGATTTACTTTTAGCTAAAGTGTAAAATATTACTTTATTTCATGTTGAGATTGGGGCCAGCGCAGCCATTTTGTTTTGATATGTGCGAAATATGCGAAAACTTTTGTAGGTACTGTAAACAATGCGGAGAAGTTGGCCCACTTTGAGTCGGGCCAAGTTCTTGAGATTGCGGCACGCACGCCTCCTTTGTACGCCTTCCCTCAACCTCTGCAGTTTTTAATTGCGGCTGGAGCTAATTGCTCAACCTGAAGGTTAAAACTTTTGCCTTCAAATGTTAGAAAAATAAAAAAACAGAAGTGAGAAACAAAATCCGCATACAAGTCGTAGCGAATGTTGGGCAGAAACATTTTGTGTTACAACTATTACCACGATTAGCCTGGCACATTTCATTTGATGGTTTCTATAAATAGCCAGCAGACGCAACTCCGACTAACCACGGTTAATTAACTATTCGCCGCAAATGCTGGCCATCAATCACCAACACTAAAGCCTTGGACTTCACAAGGATATAATTATTGTGAGTGACTGCTCTTTAAAGAGCTGAACGCTAGAAGCCTACAGTTTGAAGTAGTCGAAGAGCTCCTATATTTAAAGACCAGCAGTTGAGCCTTAACAAGACCACAAACTGCTCGAGACAAAAGTATATAATCACAAACGATTTAGAGAAATAAGATATATATTTATCTATAATGAAAACACATCTTTAAAACAAGCAATAGCTTTTGTATATATGAAAATCGCATAGAAAGGCGATATTTGAAAAAAAGAGAGAGTAACTGACAAAAGGTAGTGGAGAAGTGATTGTAAACGGGATAGATAGATAGATTGAGAAGAAGGGCCGATGGAGAGAGAGAGAGAGAGAAAGAGAGAGTGAGAAAGAGAGAAGAAGGGCCGATGGAGAGAGAGAGAGAGAGAAAGAGAGAGTGAGAAAGAGAGAGAGAGAGAGAGAGAGAGAGAGAGAGAGAGAGAGAAAGAGAGAGTGAGAAAGAGAGAGAGAGAGAGAGAGAGAGAGAGAGCGAGAGAGAGCGAGAGAGAGAGAGAGAGAGATTACTATAATGTTCTTTGCATAATACTGTATTTCGATATAACTTCAGGCTATAAAAATCGCAGAGAAAGACAATTATCAATTAGGCAGAAGAACAAATTTTAGATTCATAAAAGTTATACATTTCTGAAATAAACTAAATGAACCTACACATTAAATTACACAAACATAACATCCTGTGGGCCATTAAGTTGAAATTTTATAACTAAGATATTTGACAACAGATTTGCAGTTTCCAATCAGTATTAAAATCTACCCGCACTATCATCAACTTAACGTCTCAAGTTATGTTTGTCATATATATTTGAAATTAGTTTGAAGTTGATCGAATTTCGAACGTCCATGTTAGTCCCGTGGTGTCAAGCTAAGATCTGAAAAAAAGCTCTCGTTCAAACAACCTTCGACCCTTACATTCCATTTTCCAAGAGGTGTGAATTTTGCAAAAAGTCTGAAAAACATTCCAAATGAATTTTCAACTTTCAACAAAGATCTGTGAGTTTGATGGCGTGCGGATGATAAATATTGTTTCATTCAAACGTTTTTTCACGATTTTTCCACACTTGTGGGTGGAATTCCCCAAATAAACGCCATTGCGTGCATCTTGTTAAGGTAACAATAGTAAAACAGTAGAGATTTACATATGTATGTGTATTTTCTCATTGTTTATTCTTAACAAGAATGCCCAAACAAATGCGTCGAGTCAGTGATTTTTCCTGACAAATATCAATGAAATATGTTTACCGCTCAGCCATTTGTCAACATGTGTTCGTTGGGCTGGGATCTGCCAGAGTACATGGCAAATGAGAAATGTGGCTTGATAGAAGAACTCATTTGGAGCACGTGCCCCCACCTGCATACACCTGTACATATGTATGCATGTATATGCAGCCTGGCCACTAATGAGCAGCAGTCTGAAAAGCCGATGGAGACATACTCTAACCACATAATGGACGGCTGCCCCATTGCTTTAAGCGGGCGCGTTGTGGCTATCGCAAGTCGTAATCTGGGCTAAGTTTTGTTGGGAGCTCTCCTGACCGAAATCAAATCAAAATGCGGCGTTTCAAAATATTAAAGCAATAACAACGAGCGTGCGACAACGTCAATAAACAAAACCAAAGACATGGGTCCCACTGACACACACACACACAAACACACACACACACACACACCTTGTATGGCTATTCAGGTGGACACCAACGATATTCAGTCCATTTGCTCGCCAGATGTCGTGTCTGGGGGCAATTTACACAAATTCAATAAGCCACAACCGCAAAAAAGAAAATATAGTTAAAGGTGCTCTAGTCGGGGGTGCCCGACTAGGAGATGTCCTGTACTCATTTCCCAAGTCAAACTTTTCCTTATGCACACATGCATATCACAAACACACCTACAATGTGTTTCTTTTTCATTTACATTAAATTCATTGTTGAATCACGGCGATGTTTACGCTTCATTAAGTATTCAGCTTCTAAATATTAAATACAAATGCTCAAGGCTATATGTGCATACTATATCTTGACCTTCATATCAAAAACATACAAACATATTTGCATTTAAATTGATATGTATCGATTACGTAGAAACAGTTGAGTTATCGATTAAAAGTAAATTTTCTCTGCGTTCTTAATTTAAGTGTCTAGCTAGTATAGACTCGCGTCAGACAGGCAGAGTGACACACAAACATGATTAAACAAACATAGATAGATCTATATATTATAGATCTCGATAGATCTCTCTATATAAAACTTCTTGTTCTGACTGACCGATCAATGCACTTTCTTTCCACTCGCAAGTGTGGAAAAATCGTGAAAAAGGCTGTATGAAACTTTTTTCTTTGTCATTAAATCAGCGTCAAATTTCAAAGATCTCTGTTTAAATCCTCAATACATCCCTACTTGGTGGAATTGGGGGTCAGCGGTTAAATGAGCGAAGTTTCGGGTATAAGCTCATTTGCAAATATTAAAAAAAAATCATTTCAGACGAGATTCACACTTTTCGGAAAATGCAGATCTCACCGATGAAAAATGGGCGCTTAAAGGTTTTGTTAGGGAAGCTTTAAGTTTCGTCTGATCGCTTTAAAACTTATTTTCATAAGAACTTTATGAATACGTGTTTCAATGGTAAATTGGCGTAAAATTTGAAGCTTTTTTGTTTATCATTGAGCTTAAACTCATTTTCAAAGATCTTTATGAAATTAATTTGATAGGTTTTTCGCAAAATCCACCGCTCTAAGAAAACTCTGAGTCCAACTATTAGTTCATTATTCTAAGTTCTATAAACTTATTTACCAATATCTATGAGTTCAATATAGTACGTTCTTATTTATTTCTACCGACGGGAAATAATTGAGAATGTTATATCTAAAATTTAAGCACATGGCACATGGCAAAATCATGGGCAAGGTCAGGATTCCCTTGCTTGTAGCCCACAAATACCTTATAGGATTCGAGCGTTCGTCTTGTTAAAGCAGAATATACTTTCTAGGGCATTCATAGTTAGTACAGGGTATTAAAAAAAACTCAAACAGCATTTAACATTTGAAAGAGGAAAAACTACAACAAGCCGGCAAAAAATATATAAAAAAAAAAAAAAACGAAATAAGTATCGCCACATTTTAGGGAGCTTGGGGGACAGGATGTGAATCGATTTGAATATCAAGTTAGTTAAGGCCGCCTACACAGACTGTGGCAATATATTGACTAGCTATACAAATGCCTGGTTTTCCAATGGGGCGATGGGGCGTGTCCGAGAACTATTCGATTTGTTTTATTGACATTGAGGCACTGTAATTTGCATACATATGCATGTATACACTCTCGTTTGTCGCGCAAGTGTTTGTTTATATGTAATTTGAGGCCCTTATGATATATTTATGATTTGTGGGCTGAAACCGATTTAATAATTCATCTGTTTTAGCGCCCGAAAGTTGACTTGACTGGCCTACGCTTTATAATTAATTCGCTTTTAAGAAACTTAACCAATTTGGGGTAGTGCCAGAAGGCCAAACAAAAGGCGTCCGTTCGGCCACACACAAATTGGAAGCAGGTGTCAAACCCTATCTGTGGGTGGCTCCACCACGTGTGAGGCAACACGTAGAGTTTGGGCTTAATTTGCCTCTCGATGTGGCGATTGTTGTTGTAGATACAAATCCAATTTGACTTGGTCAGCCTGTCGAACTCATAATTAGGAAATTACTCTGGAATATTAACTATTTGGGCTTATAACAAAATATATAACAAGCTGGTGTGCCTTGCTTTTTCATGGCCAGTTTTAAAGTAAATAATTTTGCCATTTGACTTAATAAATGGTTTAATTTCAAATTGCGTCTAGATCTTAACTGGGTTGAAAAAGGCTCTATATCAGTTAGGTGACTATTAGGGGAGATTTTAAACAATTTAAATGAAAATACAATTTAATAAAACGAGAATTAAATTTATTTTCGGCCTTGCTATAAGGAGAAATACAATACATCAGTTTCCCAAGATCGCAACTGTTCAGGAGGTGGTAAAGCAGGTTAAAGTTGTTCTGTTCCTTAGGATACGATCAAACTTTATGAATTTTATGAAAATTATATCATAAGTTAAAACATATCTGATGCGAGCTCATGTACTCCGATATGTGTTTGTGAGGTGCAATCGTGGCTCTCCACAATCAAGAATTTCAGCCTCTTTCAATTGGTGTCTTCATTTGAATGTTGTCTTTGGGAAAATGAGAAAACAATTTTAAGATATTAACAAAAAGTTTGATATTTTTTATGTTGCATAATAGGAAATGAGTTTAAAGGTCGATTAACAAAGCTGAGCCTCTACTGCTTTAGTATGATTCTTCCCTTCAAGTCTGCTGTTTGACTGCAGTTTAACTAGTTAGTTCTAAGACGGCAGTTGATCAGCATGGTCACGCCGAAGGTTTTTGGCTTTTTGAACTGCCATCGAACTCGGCCAGAGTTTAACTTACTTGACTTGCATGCGGAGACACGCAGTGGCATGGAAGGTGTTCAAGTTCACGGCTTGACTTATGGCGCACGCCATCCGTAAACAAAGCCCGCAGGACTTTCACCCGCGAAGCTTTAACAACAACATCGATTAGGCCAAGTCATGCTCATGGCAGAAGGACCTTGGCGCCAAAGTTTACAGTCCATTAAGAGTAGTTGTTCATTAAAATAAAGGCGTAGGTGGAGGCACGGTATGGTTGAAAAACACCCAGTTAATGACAGTTTTACGATTGTTGACAACAAATTGACACCATTTGTAATCATTTGTTGTTGTCGCTTTGGGCAGGTTATCAGCACGTCAAAGGCACGTGGCATACTGAACCGAAGGACACTCAACTGATCAAAGATGGCGGCTAGTGCTGGTGCCAGCAGCTGGTCGGGCAGCAGCGGCGGCAGTACATCCTCTCAAGGACGTCAACTGGCTACCGCACAACCCGCCCAGGAGGAGCGCCTAGTGGTGAGTGGGCTCAAGCTGGCTACTTTAAGGAGTTACGCTTCATGAGCTGAGCTTTTCACAGGTTGCGGTACGTGTACGTCCGAGCCTGGAGGCCACCGAGCGCTGCATTGAGGTCATCTCTGGCGGCTCCCTGCTATATGATGATGGTGGCAAAAGCCGACCACGCAAATATTCCTACGACCATGTCTTCAAGGAGAACGACACACAGGAACAGGTGTACAAAACCACCACAGCGCCACTAGTTAGAGATGTCCTGAATGGTTACAATGCGGCGGTCTTTGCATATGGCGCTACTGGTTCCGGCAAGACGCACACAATGCTGGGGCCTGTGCCGCGCAAGAAACCCTCGACAGCTGACCGCGGGCCGACAGCAGCCGGTGGCTACGAGGCGGATGTTAGCAGTCAGGACATTGGCTTGATGGTGCGCGCGATCGAGGATATTTTTGTACACATTGAGGCAGCAGGGCCAGAGAGCTCCACCAAGGTATCGATTTCGTATCTTGAAATTTACAATGAACTAATACGGGATTTGCTGAATCCTGGTGGACCGCTGGAGCTGCGTGAGGATCATCGTGGCCAACGCATTACCGTAGCCGGGCTCTCCGAAATAACCACATCCAGCCGCAAGGAGGTCGTCAGCCTGCTTATCAAGGGCAACAAGGCGCGCACAATGGAGCCCACAGCAGCCAACCAGACTTCATCACGCAGCCATGCCCTGCTTAGTATTACTGTACAGACCCGCACGCCCCTGGGCACCAAGCAGGGCAGGCTCTTTCTAACTGATCTGGCTGGATCGGAGCGCGCCAAGAAGACGAAGAATCGTGGCAAGCGCTTGCAGGAAGGCGCCCACATCAATCGCAGTCTGCTGGCTTTGGGAAACTGCATCAATGCCCTGTCAGGCGGTGCTCGCTACGTCAACTATCGCGACTCAAAGCTCACCCGACTGCTCAAAGAGGCGCTCAGTGGCCGCTGCAAGACGGTCATGATCGCCCACGTCGCTCCCGAGAGCAAGCATCGGGACGAGACCAAGAACACCCTGGTATATGCGGATCGTGCAAATAGCATCACCACCAAGCTGCAGAGTTCCGTATACATTGATGAGTTCAAAAACTTTCCCACCAAGCACTACCAGAGCCTGGTCTCAGAACTGCGGGACGAGGTCACCCGCCTGCGCACTAAGATGCTAACGGAACGTCCGCGCAGCGGAGCTGCCGCCGCGGCAGCAACAACATCAGCACATCAGCCACCCAGCGAGGAGCTAAACGAGCAGCGCAAAACGGAGCTGCGATATCTGCGGGAACAGATTGTGCTGACCTTTAAGCAGCAGATGAAACTGCGACGCAAGCTGCTCGAGGCGGAGAGCCATCTGCTGGGCCTGGAACTGGATGCCGAGCGACAGCATATGATCATTTCCCACTGGCAGGGGCGCATTGGCAAGCTGTATGATGCACCTGGAGAAGATGGTGGGTGTTATGCATATTATGGATGTGTACTATTTAGAGACCACTATCAGCAGCCGGGTCGATAAATCCAGTATACTATACTATGCTATTCTATACTATGCTATACTATACTATACTATACTATACTATAATAGACTATACTATACTATACTATAATATACTATACTATAATAGACTATACTATACTATACTATAATATACTATACAATTCTATACTATACTATACTATACTATACTATACTATACTATACTATACTATACTATACTATACTATACTATACTATACTATACTATACTATAATAGACTATACTATACTATACTATACTATACTATACTATAATAGACTATACTATACTATACTATACTATACTATACTATAATAGACTATACTATGCTATACTATTCTATGCTATACTATACTACACTTTGTTTACTTCGTTTAGACGTGGAATCGGAGGGCTCAGTGGCTTTAAAGAATGCCTGGGGTGAGTTGGCGGCTATAGAGAAGGAGACGCGGCGTTATAAGGAAATTCGTGAGCATACAGAGCACGAGCTGGAGCTATGTCGCCAGAAGGGTGTCAAGTTAGAGGATGTAAGTATCCAGCCTTCAGATTTGAAAGATATTTTTTAATTATAAATGAATTGCTTGTACGGCCAGGAGCTTCCGGAACGCATTAGCAGCGATGAGGAGCGCGAGCTGCTTGCCCTTCTCTGCCGCGTCCATGAACTGGAGGCGGACAAGGTATCGCTGCAAGCGGAGCGGCTGGCTCGTCAGGCGGAGCTGCGGCGTCGCGATCTGCAGCTGTTGCGTGCCGAGCGGCAACGGCGCCTGTGCGAGGACATCATTAGCTCCCAGCGTCGTCTTATTGAGGAAGGCAACGTCGAGCTGCCGGATGAGCTGCGCGAACTCTACGGCCTGTATCAGCAGGAGATACACGCCGGAGTTGTCACGCCCAGCACAAGCGGCTACGAGAAGAAGCTGCCGCCCATATACACAGCTGGGTAGGTTAGGTGACTATAAATCCATGCGCAATATCTACGAATCAAAATCGTCGCACTTTATTGTAGCTCCGATTCGCCCAGTTCCAGTTCCAGCTCTGAATGGTCTCCCGCCTCACCATTGCCGGTTATAGAAGGTCATCCCGAGCTCATTGTCGTACCGGAGGGTCCCGATCGCCTAATGGGTCCGCCAGTGAATCCGCGTCTGCCACGTCTGTCCACTGCAGTGCCAGCGACCGGCACACGCCGCCCCTCGTTGCGTCTGGGCAAGCAGACGCATCCTTAGAGGCGGCAGCGCCAACTCTGTTCGAGTTGCTCAGGAATAGTTGTAAAGGATTAGGTTAGGATTCTAATTAAAGTAACGATCAATATGCTAATGCATTAATTAATACAAATTATGTTTGTCGAAATTTTAAGTGCATAACTTCAATAAATGCCTAGCCTTATGGAACTGCATGACATGCGTGTTTGATGTACTTATTATGGGGCAAGTTTCTTTTTTGCTAAATATTTAATTGTTTCAAAAATTAAATAGATTGTATATATATATTTCTTAACTGTGATATAAATTATTACGGCTTTAATTTTTAATTAAATTAATTTAATTTTGAAGAATTACTAAGTTTTCTGTTTTAAAGGGCTGCCACGTCGATGGAAATTGTTTGATTTTATCGTTACATTTAAAAACTTGTTTCTCAAACAATCTGGCAACGCTGTTCACCAATTTGAGCATTGCAACTTGTAGGCTTTTTTGTTAGAGTAACTCAAATTTATGTTTATTTTTTCATGTCAAATAATTATTTTGATGTGGAATTACAATTTAATGTGTTATGTTTATGTGTTATTAAACACATAAATACGCTTTATGCATTTATTACTTTAAATATAAGATTTTGTTGTTGATTTTAATTTTTTAAATTATTGTAAATATATAATTTAAAAAATACAATAGTTTAGGAACAAAAATTGGAAACAACGCATACTATATTATCCTATGCCATACATTTCAGCATAGGAATGACGTTAAGATTCAAATTCTAAATGACTTTGGCAGCTATTTAAATAAAATAAAATATTTAAAATCATGCTTGATGTTTAATGCTAGTCAAATTTGAGCTCGACATGTCGATTATAGTTGAAATTCACATAAGAAGTTTTTGTAATTGAATGTGCCAACACTTCCTACGCAACGTCTCTAAGGTCACTGCCGGCACAGAATTTGAGTTTTTCATTTTTGGATGTAGGTCAGAAGCACCAACAAACATAAACAAAACGTAACAGGCGAAAGGGAGAGAGACATAGACATAGACAGAGTGAGGTAGAGAGAGATGGGAACGAGCGAGAGTGCGAAGGAGATAGAGATGCGTAAGAGAGGGCGAGAGTGTGTCGCGGACAGAGAGCGTGAGCGTGAGCGTGAGAGCGCGCCGTAAGAGCATGCGTTGCGATGGAAAATTATCTATCTGCTCGCACAAAAAAAGTATCTGACAGTTTGATTTTCATTATTAGATACACAGCTGTGTGCCCTGTGCGTGGTTGATTTCCCTTCAGCTCTGCCGTTCGTATTAGGGTCTTGTAGTTCAAGCAGCTAGCAGGTTGCTGTCGAATAAGAAAATAAAAACCACAAGTTAAAAACACAAATCTAGTCAATCAAATATAATATATAAATAAAAAGTATATTGCACTTAAAAACGCAACAAATTCAAATCAAGAAGGGTAAAACAAGTTGAATATAAAAACGCACAAATAAATGCGTAGTTTGTAGCTGCAGCAAATGCCACACAGTAATATTTATTTTTTGATTGTTCAATGCCAAAAGTTTAATTGTTAATTATAACTATGCATTGGAATTAACTTGAACTCAAGTCGAATTGTGTTTATTAACGGTGCAATAATCGAGGCTTCTGATAGGCCCCAAGCCGAGTGCCAGGTAAGTGAAAATTCTGCAGGCACAGCTTGCCCACGTCAATTCAATGGGAATGAATCTCAATTGTGTGTGTGTGTGTGTGTGGGTGTTGTGGGTATCCAAGCGCATTGGTTGGATGCATGCATGCATGTATGAGTGGTAAAAACAAGGCTCGACGCAAATGTTGCAGTTGCCATGCAACGAGCCAGTTAAGGGCTGCTGCCCGGGCAACCAGCTCACCTGCTTTCTGGCCAAGCTTAACAATTTTGCTCAAAAACAACAATATCAACAATAACAACTGAAAATATACAAAGGCGGTGAGATTGACATATGCAGCTAATTTTTTGTTTTTTTTTTTTTTTTTAATTTCTCTGAATTAAACTCCTCACAAAAATTAATTCAAATTATTTTTTATTATTATAAATGTTCCATTGTAAAATAGAAAAACCGGTTTGCGTAATTCCAAATTATCGAATAGAATTAGCTGCTCCATTTAACTTAACTTAACTTACAATAAAACTCGAAAATATTTTCGTTATTTTTGCAAACTGATTATTTGATTAGCCCAGAAAACATTAGTGTGAAGGACTTGTCAACGTGGCAGTAAACTCTGCCTCAACCCCCTAATTTGTCCAATGTTTCTCCCTTATGATTTATTTTTCTGCATGGTAAATAGCTTGAACACAAGTTGAATTTAGCCGAATGCCCAATAGAGAGTCCTGCGCCTAAATAGTCCAACCGGATACCCGGTAAGTGAAAATTCTGTGGGCGAAGTCAACTCTCTGTGTGGGTGGCATGGGTGTCTAGGTGCATTGGATGCACACATTTATGTGTGTATGTAAGAATGGTGAAAAAAAAACAAACCAGGCTCGGCGTGATGTGTTGCGGTTGCCAATTTGAGCTGCTGCCCGGGCAACTAGCATACCTGAGGCAACTGTGCTTCGTGCCCAAGCTTAAAACTCTTGTGTGTCAGAGAGCTAAAAAGCAAAAATCATATCAATGGTCAATATATACAAAGGTGTTGATAGTAATTTTTGATTTTTAATTCTTTGAATTGAATTCTCGTTGATTATTTTTCGTGTGAAAACCGTTTAAGTTATTATCGCGTTAAAATTGCTGTTCAATGGAAAATTTTGCCTTGTACTAGTTAGTTTTCCACTGTACAATCGGAAAACCTGTTTTGTGTGTGAAAACTCAGCGAATACCGTTACCTCTTCCGAACAAACCACAAGCCCCAAACTATTTACTAAGCTTTTATAAGCTGACCCAAAGATTATTTCTATGAACTGTCAACCCAAATAATCTAGCTCGCCAATTCATTAGTCTAAGGGACTCTGTTTCAAACCCATGTCTCGCCTTTGTTTTAGCATGTAGTAATTAATTTTTAAATTACTTTCGTAACAATAGAATGACAACCGTAAACACATTTTAACAATTTTAATTGCTCACCTGCGAATTGAGGCGAATACCTGAGCAAGAGCCATGCGTCTAGATACGCACATCTGGCTGCGAGTGGAGTACAAATTTTGTAGGCAAAGCCAGCTCTCAGTGTTCGTCTGGCGCATTGAATGCATGAATGTATGCATTCATGTGATAATGGTGGAAAAGCGGGCTCGGCATGATGTGTTGCGCCTGCAATGCAATGGGCCAGTTAGGGGCTGCCGCCCGGGCAAACAGCTCAACAGATAGAGAATTTCTTGGATTTGTTTATTTCCCTGAACTTAATTGAAAGCCGTTGAAGTTATTATCGCATTAAAGTTGTTAATTAATGGTAAAGTTTTCATTATGCTAATCAGCTAATATAGAAAAAAACGTGTGTGCATTGCCAACTTATCAAATACTTTTAGCTGAACTATTTTCCTTGATTTACAAACTTACTTTAAGTTCTTAACTAGTCACCTTTCGCTGTTCCTTACAGATAAGACCGATAACTGTGACCGAAAATTGTAAAGCCCTTCACTAAACTGATTGATCAATGCCAACAATTTAATTGTCTGGATGGGAAATAACTTGACCACAGGTGGCATAGGGAGGATAACCAGAGGAGGAATCCTGTGTTTTGATAGGCCCACCGAGTCCGAGGTAAGTACAAATTCTGTGGGGCTCATCGAATGCATGCATTTTTGTGTGTTTGTATGAAAGCTGAAAAAACAAGCTCAGCCTGACGTGTTACGGTTGCAATTGCAGCCCGGGCAACTAGCTCGCCTTCTTTGAGGCAACTGAGGTTCTAGCCCTCTTCTGCATCAGAGGGGTCCAAAAAAAAAAAAAGAAGAGATATATGTCAACGATAACTTAACAAATACACAGGCTGTTTAATTCTCTGAATTGAATTCTTATCTCAATAATCGTTAAAGTTATCGCATAAATGATAATATTTGCCTTGTCGAAATCTGCCTCTGGAAAACAGAAAACCTGTGTGTGCATTGTAAACTAATTGAAAATTGTTTCCGATAATTAAATTAAAATTATTTTAATAAAATAAAATATAGCAAAATACTATTTTTCGTTGATTATGCAAACTGACTATGTGTTAAGTTCGATAAAAATCTCTTCATATTCAATTAGATAAACTAAACAGATATCAAATAAAACATAGATTGTCTAATTTGCCTTTTTTACCATTTTTTTTTTTCTGATCATGAACTAGTTACTAGTTTGAAAAATGATTTTAATGTTAAATTAAGACCGCGATTGACTAATGCAAGCCTTACAATTCTTGCAGGAGGCTAAAGTGGAGACAGAGATGGAGTTCATACTTGTACGCAACTCGCCAACGTCATTCATCGAAGAAGAGGAGATCGAGCCAATGCACATAGAACAGCTGCCCAATGATATGTGGATAGAGATAATGTCATATTTGTCGTATTTGGATCTGCAGCAGCTGCGTCTAGTATCCTGGCGCTGTCGCAACTTGGTCAATCGGCGCTACTTTTCGTCAAAAGGCAAGGTGATTGTTACCAAGGATAATCTAAAGGACATAAAGGCGCATGTGGAACGCGGTGTTTCGTATTTGAGTTTCGAGGACGTTGAGTTGCGAAATTTAACACAAAGCGCCGAATTGGAGCAGTTCTTGAGGCTGGTTGGCCCGGAAATCAAACAAATACAGGTGCGCCACTCGCCCGTCTTTCGCAACATGGATGGAAAGCTGCCAAATCTGAAAGTGCTGAAAATAGCCACGACCAGCTTCTTGGATGACGTCAACATGACCATCGACGGCATCAATATGAAACAGTTCTTGCACCTAAAGGGCTTCGAATGCGACGGCGTCAGTCTGGACTCAACACTTAAGCTTCTAATGCTATTGCAGCTGCGTCGCGTCGAGAACAAGGTGCGACTACGTCATCTGCAGTTCGAGTATCGCCGAAACAATGAGACGGCACTGCTCCAGGTGCTCAACGATCATGGGCCCACTCTTGAGTACGTCGACCTCTTCTTTAGCTGCTCGCCCGGCATCGAAACGGCACGCTGGCATGTGGCCTTCGAGCGGATGAAGCGGCTGCGCGTTCTAAAGCTCTCCGGCAATTGCCATCTCGTGCTGCTAGACGATATATTGAAATCAATTCCCCAAACGGCCCGGCTCCAACAGCTGGATCTTACCGGCATGCTATCGCTGACTAATGATATGCTGATCCGCGTGGCTGACAAATGGTATAAATCACTCCGCTCCATCGATCTCATGTTTTGTGTGCAGCTGGACGTGCGTTGCGTCCAGGCGCTTCGCAAGATGAACGGCTGTCTGGAGTCGCTGACTATGGCCTATTGCCGTGCGTTGACTGGAAGGGGACTTGTCGAGGGCCTGGCTACTCAGGTCAACTATACGCTGCAGGAGCTCTTTTTGGAGGATGTGTGCTTCATCGACGAGGCGTCCATGTGCATACTACTTAAACGGCTTCCCAATTTACGCAAGCTCAGCCTGGACAATTGCCGCCAGGCGACCACCGATCGCACCCTTTCCACAATCTTCCGCCACCAGCCGCTGCTGCGCATGCTCAGGATTGATTACTGCATTAAAATAACGGATAATGGTTTCATTGGCTTCGGCAAGCATCCCGCGCCCATCAGCCGCTTGCGGGGCTTGCACGAGCTAAATGTGCGAGGATGTCGCAATCTTACGGATCGCCTGCTCAGGAAGGCGCTGCATTTGCCCGAGCTGCGGAATCTTACATTGGACTATTGTAATCGTTTGGAGACCAAAGGCATTGCAGCGCTTAGTGTCAACTGTCCGGCCTTGGAGACGCTCTCCCTGGCCAGCTGCTCGTTACTCGATGACGAGGCGGTGGGCGTGGCCGTGGCCAACTTGAAGCGTTTGCGTAGTCTCAATATAAGCAACTGTTCGTTGCTGACGCTCCAAACATTTCACTATATTGCTAGAGATGCGCATGCCCTCAGGGATCTAGTTGCCTGCAGCATTGATGGACTTGATCAGGAGGCAGCCCAAAAGATTCTGGAGAAGCAGCTGCCTTCGCTCAAGCAGGTGATGCTATAGCAGGAGAGGCTGGTTCACTGACAAGATGAGGACAATCCCCATGCCGGATGGGGAACCGATGACGAGGACGAGCCCGAAATCATCGAAATTGTTGTTTAAGCTGGGTCAGTGCAATATGATCAAATCAACTAATCGTTTAATATTAAAGGGTATTTGCTTAACTATAACTAGTTGTTCTGAAAGAACGATGACAACAGTTACAAAAAAAACATTATTTCCCCATTTTTTTCAACGCTGCAAACTATCTTTAAGTTATTGATGTAAACTTAAATGTTAGAGAAACTGTTGTGTAAGTAAATATAAGTAAAAAGAAAACAAAACAAAGGAATGCGTTTGCATTAATTTGTTAACCACAAAACACCAACATTGAATTTGTTGATATAAGAATATTACAAGCATAACTCTAATGGTTCTCAAGTCAACAATAAAGCCAAAAGTCATAATACTAACATACCTCGATATAAAGGAAACTAAACATTTCAAAAACTTGAAACGAACGCATAAATTCTTTAAAAAATACCACAAAGCTGTATACACACACACACACACACACACATATTTATATAAATATATTTAGTAGATCTAAAATTTCCTGTTTGTGATAAAGATATTCCGGGCATAATGTATGCATTGATTGGGAAAAGAATACGAGCAAAGGCCAGACTTAAAAATTTAACGAGCTTCACAAAGACTTTTATTGTGAGTTGTAAAAACTAACCAGTTTTGAATATCTAGATATTTATATATTATACATCATATACACATATATTATACATCTTATAAATGTTATAAGTAATCAGTCAATGAATGTCATTACGATAATATAAATATTATGCATACATATTTATATACTTACGTGTCTGTATGTATTAATTCTATATGTACTTTTTTGCCGCCCATTGTGAATTTGCACTGTAAACTGTTGGCCTAATAACACATGTAAGTGTTAAATGTCCACGAGTTTTAGCCAGAAACTATCACAACTTAAAATATATAAGGTCAAATCTAATTGATGCGAATGGACATAAACGTGGTTTATACAATAATATTGCTAAATACAATATTCTTGACAGCCTAAGAGCTATGTTCTGTCAAACTGAAAAGACAAGAAAGAAATTGCATTGGGAAAGTGCTTCAAAGAATTTTTTTTCTTTTCGGTATCGTATGCTAAGATAAAGATTTAAATGTGTCAAAACAAGAATTAAGTATAGGAAAGCCGATTGGATTGGTAGTATTTACAGGCATAATATATCAACAATATAATTAATGTCTAATATATTAAAATAGATGTTTTGTATGAATTGCAATGAATATATTACATGATTAGTTCTTGCCAAGTCTTCACTGCTAAGGACATAATATTTTAGCCGTTGGTAAATGTCTATTAAATAAGTAATGAATAAAGAGGTTCCGGGCTCGATTCCCGATGAAGGCTGGTTGAATAAGTGTCCAGTGTTTTAAAGAGATATTTATTGAGTTCGTTTAACCAAATCATTGGTGATCTATATCGAGAATATATAAGTATATTCACATTTCTCAGACTTAATGAATTATAATTAAATTGTTCTAAGTTTTCCTAAGTCATAATATATTATAATAAAATTGATGTTGCATGTCTATATACATATATACACAAGTATTTCTTTCGACTATTTACACTCCATTGAAATTGTGTACGAGTGGGATTTGGCAAGGAAGAAGAAACTGTAAGTCATATATTTTTCGGTGCTATATGAACTTCATAGTCAATATTTTATTTTATTATCTCTTTAAATCTTTTTGACGTGGCTCGTATTATAATATGGGCATTATGTGTATTAGGGCAGTATATTGTACCAAAATGATTATCTTCATGGAGCTTGAGCTGTCGCTAGCAGGGCTATCTACTCCAGAGGAATATAGTGAAGTTAGTTAATGGTATTTAGCTCAACAACATCGATCAATTAACATTAAGCTTACTTATGTTAGACATTGAAGGCGATTTATGGGTTCGCTACATGCATTTACCAGCAAATAGTGAAGATAATGGGTTGTCTATAAATTAAGAATGAATTTTAATGAATAGAAAACAATTAAAATCATTTAAGGGCTGTTAGTTTTGTTATATTGGCATACATATGAAGCAAGGAAAGCATCGTACTATCAATATCTAATGCCGACAGCCCAAAATCCATTACCTACTCTTATAAAAATGTTCGTTGCCTACTTTGGGGCGCTTGGGTTTTTTAAGCTGTCAGTTGACATGTTACAGGGGGCTTACGAATTGATTAATGGTTTTATGAAATGTTTATGTTTATTAGTCAATCATATTTATGATTTTTGGGTCTTTAAGGTCTTTGTGGAAATTCATTGGAGGCGGAAAATGCACCATCTTATGTGTAAAATTGGGGACGTATGAGCTACAAATTTGTTTTGAAAACTTTGTAGGCGAAAAGATTTCGATCTTTTGATTGCAATCAAATATTTTTAGTTCAATATCATTATCTATATAAACATCTATATAGGCTAGCCTTGGCGAATTTTAAAGATTCTTCCGATTGGCTTCAAACTTATTTAAATAAGAAACTAATGAACGTAAGCTTCATAGGTAATGGAAAATTCGTTCATTCAATCCATCTTAACCCATTTCCAGGATCTTTGTAAAAATTCATTCATTCATCATATTTGGCCTTATCCGCATATGTCTGAGTAAGAAAAAAACTTGAAACGGACAAAGCCGGATAATAACCGGCATTTATATAAAATTGCCTGAAAAAAATATATGTATATTGGAATGTAAATAATCTGCTCACTTGAATCTGTAGGCCACTTTAAATGTAGCTAGCTAAGTAGCCGTTGATAAACTAACAAAAAAACGCGGTTGCACTTGCTTAGAGCTTTTAAAGCACGCGTGCAAACACTTGCTAAAGCTTACACACACATATACACACACTCATAGACGAGAAAGAACACACGTAGCTGGTGGCAGCCACCATTTTCATTCGTACGTATGCATGTGTGCATGTGCTGTATAATGGTGTGTGTGTGTGTGTGCGACTATTTCAAAAGCAGCGCACGCACTTTGACACCACCCGAGGGGGAGGGGGGGGGGAGGAGGGGGAGGGGGCAGCAGGGTGCTTGGTTAGTTAGTGTGGCGCTAAACGAAATAAAATAAATGAATGAATATATACGATGGGGGCAACAGAAAATGTCAGTCGTCAGCTCTGGCACTGACAAAACGCATATTACGAAAAGTTTTTGCCCGCCGTCATCGTGGGGTTTCTTATTGCTCCTCTTGTATTTTGGTTGGTTTTGGGGGGCTGCGCTTTTTGCGACAGCAGCGCCCAAGCTATGAGAAATTGTGTCCAAAACACAAACAAAGCCAGGCACCGAGCGAAACACTTACGAGCCGGCAGAGACACGGGCAGAGACACGGGCAGAGACACGGGCAGAGACACGGGCAGAGACGCGGGCAGAGACAGTGACAGCGGCAGCGACCGAGGCAGCGACGCGTCGTCGTTGCCTAATGTAGATACAAATCTGAATAGAATTGTCGCCGTTGCTTATCAGATAAGTTCAGAGCGCGCTGGCGTGCGGTTCGGGTTCGCAACTCGGATACGGGCAACTCGCTGCAGCTACTGCATTTAACTAATGCCACATACATGTGGCTGGCCGGCCGGTTGTAATCAAGTGAACGCAGTGCCCAGTGCCCAGTGCCCAGTGCCCAGCGCCCGGTGCTGATAGCAGTCGCTGGGCGAGCGTCTGGACTTGGATTTGGTTGCGACCTCGCTGACAGTATTGTTTTTATCGTCTGTGTGTTGCGTGCCAATCAAGAAACGAACTGAGTCGATTTGCTACCTTAAATTCTCTGCCGCTGCTGTGTTGGTCGTGACATCGAATTATAATAATTAGCATAGAGGGAGATATAGCCAATTAAGCGGTAGTCGGCATTCCACCAAGTGGAAATTTTGAATGAAACTTTAAAAATAAACAACAAAAAAAAAGCGCTCAGTTGAAGGAAAATTTCAAGCAAACATGTCGCCGGCATCGACTCCACCTGCCATCAATCAGAGCGCGGCTACAATTACCCAATTGCTTGGCGCGCAGCGCGATCCTCTGGCAATTGTCATACCTGTCACCGTGGTTTATTGCCTCATCTTTCTGACCGGCGTCGTGGGCAACATTAGCACCTGTATTGTGATCAAGAAGAATCGCTCCATGCATACGGCCACCAATTACTATCTGTTCTCGCTGGCCATATCGGACTTTATGCTACTGCTGTCGGGAGTGCCGCAGGAAATGTACTTCATCTGGTCCAAGTATCCGTATGTATTCGGCGAGTACTTTTGCATAGGTCGTGGCCTGTTGGCCGAGACATCCGCCAATGCTACTGTATTGACCATCACGGCGTTTACGGTGGAACGCTATATGGCAATTTGCCATCCGTTTCTTGGGCAGGCCATGAGCAAGCTGAGTCGCGCCATTCGGATCATAGTGCTCATCTGGCTGCTGGCGGTGCTTACGGCCATACCGCAGGCGGCACAGTTCGGCATCAATAGCTATGCGGGCGTCGATAAGTGCGTCGTGGTGCGCGTCATATTGCAACACTCTTTCCAGCTGTCCACCTTCATATTCTTTTTTGCGCCCATGTCCATCATACTGGTGCTGTACTTGTGCATTGGCCTGCATCTGTATCGATCGAGTGTCATTGGCGGCGGATCACCAACAGTTCCTGTAGCCGAGAGCAGCGCGCGGCGCCGAGAACAGCCGCTGAAGGCGGTAGCAAGTGACACAATACTCTATCGGTACGCCGGCTCCAGCTCGGTTTTGGCCAACAATGCGGGGCCACAGCTGAGTTCAGTGCGTGGACGCCTCACTCATTATGGCACGCGTCGTGTGCTGCGGATGCTGGGTGAGTTCTGCGACATTGATGGGTCCAATTATGCAAAATGTAGCGACTGGTGGCCGCAGGCTGTGAGCCAAATGTCTAATTTTTAGCTGTGTGTGTCTGTGTCAGCAAGGGGTAGAGGCCGGGCCGAAGACTTGGGCGCGTTTAATCAGCCATTCACTGGCCAATTTATCGCGTCTGTCATTTGGCATGCTCGACATTTATGAGGCGCGGGTTTATTGTGCCCCGAAAAAAATAAAAAAAAGAAATACTATGCGACACAAGCCAGTGCCTGCCATTAGCACCAATGAATATAAATACAAATACAATTGTTTGGTTTATCTGCTCGCTTCACAGTTGCCGTTGTCATCTGCTTCTTTCTGTGCTGGGCACCATTTCACGCACAGCGTCTGATTGCCATTTATGCGCCCGCCCGGGGCGCCCAGTTGCATGATCAGCATGAGCTCCTCTACACGGTGATGACATACGTCTCGGGCGTGCTCTACTATCTGTCCACCTGCATTAATCCGCTGCTCTACAACCTGATGAGCAACAAGTTTCGTGAGGCCTTCAAAGTGAGCCCCAAGCTGAGATTATATTTATATATCAACTCTTCTCATTTATACATATATTTCATTGATCTGCTGCAGGCCGTGCTGCTGGGCAAGAAGTACTCAAAGGGCATGCAGCATTCGCGCCATCAGCTGGAGTCGCGCCGCTTGCGTCGCACCACAACGCTTAATTCATCGACGCAGCGCGATTCCATTGAGTCGAAGCACACGCTAATGCAGGTCTGTCCCACTGATCGTATGAGTAATATTACTTAATATGCGATCAAAAAATAAACTATTTACATGCATTTCTCTATTCTTCGCTCACCCTCTCCGGCTGTCTCCCCCTCTCTCTCTCTCCCTCTCTCTTTCTCTTCCTCCCTTTCTCTCTCTCTTGCTCTTTTTTAGACTGCTCTGAACGAACGCCTACTGCAGACAAAGTCTCAACTAGTTCTCTAATATGCAATGCACAATTCATCTGTTTATAGTAACTTTGTAGTTTCTTTTTAGCGATTTTTATTACTTGTCACATTCGTGCAGCTTTCTGCATTTTTGTTTTAACTTATTTAAGTTTATAGATTTTTAATTTAGCCACTGTTTTTATATTGTTATACGTCTACCAAAGCGTTTAGTACAACTTTTGTTTTGTATAAGTTAATGAAGCTAACTAACTAAAACTTAATGTAATGACTTTAAATTAATGATATTGAGCTCCATGCATTTATTATTTAGTAATCTTCAGACAAACCTACAAGTTGTTTCTTTTAAGTTATTTTCTAGCAATTAAAATTAAGCAGCTGCGATGTACTTGCATAACTAGTCTATTGTATCTTAAATCTATATATATATATAAAGAATTTGTCCTGACTGGCTGGCTTATTGGTGATCAAACTGTAAGAGCTACGTGGCTTATAGTTTATTTGAAGCTTTCTCTTGAGTCAGAAGTAAGCACTACGATAGGGTTTGAACTCCAAGCGACATCATGAGCCTGCGTAACTTTAGTGTCTGTGCGTCGAGCTAACAATCAGAAAATCGCCGGCTCAAATCCAGCAGGAGATTTTTATTTTTATAAGTAACTAGCAAGACGTCAGCGACATCAGATAATTTACTTAAGCCCATAATATAAAGGTAAGCGCATGTGAAAAGTCGCTTGAAAATTAGATCTTCCAGAAATTAGAAATATCATTTTTAATTTTTTGGACCCTTGCACAATTTTTATATTTAAGAAATCTTTTTAGAGCAAGACTCCAAAGTAGACTATTTAGTAAATGAAATTCTTTAGAAACTATTAATATAATTTATATTACAAAAACATTTCTAAAAATAATCTTTCGCATTTTCAAGCTTATATGAATATACTGCATAAATTATTTAAAAAAAAAAACACATAATTTACCTCTTTTTGAATCATACACAATAGAAAATGATTCTTTATATATTTGCCTAAAATATCTCATTTTATTCACACTGCTGTGAGCTCAGCTTTTGTTATTTGTTAATTGATACAATAAATTAAAACCAAACAATGTATTAGATTGTACAAAACAAACCAAAAGTCGACATTATAATAAAATTGTTTCCAGACTTTGAAATTTGCCGAACTTTAGCTAAAGTTTTCTTTAAATATTTGTTGAAGAGTGCCAATAATACGAGCTGTCGAGGAACTGACTGATGAGCTGTAGAAAATACTTTGCTATTTTCCAAACATCAAACGATTATTCGACCGGAAAAACGGAAATTAAATGCTTTCCACTGCAAAGGCTGTAGAAAAAGTAAACTTTTGAAGACGTAGCTCTGATTATTTTTGCTGGGGCATTATACTTTTATTCATATTTATATTTATTGTGAATCCAAAATTATATATAAATATGTAATTAAACTTATTTTGATTATTTTCTTGGCAATTGCTAGGGTTTCGTCGACTTGTCTATTTTTATCTGCTAGAGACGGCGCCGTGATTTAAGCGAAAATTTGTAATTTGGATTCATCGCAATGCGCATATAAACAAATTTGTTTTATCGATTTGGCGTGCAAGCAAATGCGAGTGGAGCTGGAGTGGAGCTGGAATGGAGCGTATGCCGTCTGTTTGAATAAATAATATGATAATGATGTCCCATGCACCATGCCCATGCGCTGATAATCGCCCAAGGTCACGGACTGCAAATGCAGACTAATGTCAACGCGGCGAATGAGTAATATGGCCCAAGCACTCGCAGTTGCATTTCTTATGAAAATGCAATCAGGCAAATGGACGTGCTGGCCAAAGCACGCGGCATTCCCTGCCGACCTTGTTCAGGTGTGATTGGATTCGATCTGCGAATGGCGACTGCATCAGGGCATGCCATTTGCTTACGTATGCATGCCCTATGCCCATAAATTCTCTCATAATGCGTCATATTTAGATAAACGTGGAAATCCTAAGCGCAGCATGCCATAAACACCATAAACACCAATATAAAAAAGTTGCATACATTGAGCGGAAGTCGAAAAAATCAGCAATGGTAACGTTAGCCTTGGCAATATTTTTCACAGCGACATTTGCATACTCTAACATACCTATACGCATATAAGATTACAAGCTTGTACAATTAACTAAGGCGTTATTTGTTTGTAATGTTTATTTTGTTTAAAATCTGAATTAATTAAATTTTTTGTAATACTTTTCAAGGATCTTTCTTGTTTCACGCTTTTTGCTAAATCCACCTTTACTTGGTGGATCCATTTCCACCACGCATATGAAACGATCTTTGTAAATACGAATTTGCGATGTTTTCAGTAAATCCTCTTGGGGGAAAAAGGGGTCAACGGCCTTATGGGTTATTTTTTAAGTTACACTCGATCGCTTTCAAACAATTTTTGAAAAAAAAAGAATTTAGTTAATTTCATTTGTGCAGTAAACGGGAATGAATACACTATAATATTTAAGGTAAGCCCAAAAACATTGACCCTTCCAATCAATATTTATCGATTTTAAGGAATCTGGTATATAAGCAGCATGGCATTCTTCGGCTTATAGGCTTCATTGATTTTATTTAAGCGTAACAAACTCCTTTCAATAGTTAATATACTTTCAATAATAATGTATGCATATACTTTTCCTTCACGTACGTCACGTAAGGCTAACCAAAGCTAACAAGCCAATGAAGTAATACAGAAAAGCAAGCAGCAAGAGCAATAGATCCATACACCCACACACATACACAGCAATTGGCACACACAGCCCCACCCACTGACACACGGCTGTCCACAAAATGACGTAGAAAGTGTGAAATTTGTTGATTTACGAGCGAATCGGGAAAACAAAAAAGCGAAATTCCAGCAAAAGAAATGTTGCCAACCATTAACTCGCTACCTCCCGAATCCCAGCCAATCATTTAGTCAGTCAGGAAGCCAAACGGGGCACACATACAGGCACACAAACACATACACGCTGTGCTTAGTGCGCAGCAGTGCCAACAGGTGGCGCTGACGCTTTCAGCGTGGGAATTGTGTCAAAACAACGCGCAAATACAAAAGAATGTTAAAAACATATATACACGTATGCACACACATATGCACTTTGTACACACACACACACAACTATGCTCTTTATAACGGTAGTCTAGCGCATATTGGCCGAGTTAGTTAAGTCTGTTGAGACCAAAGTCAAAATGAACACTACTAAATGCTTTTAGAGTGAACCCAAATCAAAGTAGGCTAACCAATTTTTGGATAGAGTAGGCCTTGAAATCTGGCTGCTACTGATACCCCACAATTACAGCATACCTCAGTCTGTTTCTGGCATTCGAACTAAACGGCTGTAAAATATAAAAAAAAAATTGGTTTTTAATTTTGTAAAAAAAAAAAGATTTTTGGTAAAAGTTTGCAAAAAAAAAATTTTTTTAATTTTCGTTTTTTGTGAAATAATTTTTCCCTGGCTCAATAGAAGAATGGCTAGCGTTATCAAGAAGGTTGTACCCATGCTGGATCGCATTCTAATTCAGCGCGCCGAGGTGAAGACCTCAACAGCAGGCGGCATACTGCTGCCGGAGGACTCGGTGCCCAAGGAGATGCAAGGCGTTGTCGTGGCCGTTGGACCCGGTGCCCGCAATCCTGTTGGCTCCGGTCACTTGCCCGTGGCCGTCAAGGAGGGTGATCGCGTTCTGTTGCCCAAATACGGTGGCACCAAGGTGGACATGGATGACAAACGCGAATACGTACTGTTCCGCGAGAGCGACATCCTGGCCAAGCTAGAATAATATGGTTCAAGTGTTGCCTTCCGGCGTCTGCCATTCGATTGGCAGCACATAATACACGGTACAGACTTAATCGGGGACTAAGAAATCATAATCAAACGATACAGACACAAACAATACCCTTTGCGTTCGAAACTAAATGATTGATGAAATGTTGTATTTGGTAGCTAAACACAGAACACAGAATATTCACACTAAGCAGGCAAACCGGTACCGTCAGGACACTACAATAAACAATTGTTCAGATTGCGTTTTTTCTTTAAAGAGCATTAAACCGAGCTTGTTTTGTCTTTGAGGGGGGGGCTCACTCTGCTGCCAGCTGCTTCTCCCCACATGTTGCTGAACCTCTCGCTACGCTCATTGGCGGCGTTGACTTCGTTGTGCGTTGGCGTCGGGCTCGTGGTTCGTCTGCCCCATCTGCCTCGTGTGTTGCGCTCGCATTGGCTGTCGTTATCTTTTTGCCGTTCCGGATATGTTTGCTGCACACCGGTCTGGGCTATAAAAGCCGCCTGTCTAACGCCTTTTGGTGGCAATTCGAAAAGAGTTTTGAACACACGCATTCCAGATACTCGCACCTGCACAGCAAAACTGTTGCACAAAGTTTGTGGCAAGTGCATTTAAAGTTAAATTGAAAGTGACAAAAAGAAATTCTCAATTTATTTTGACAGTTCAAATTGTGCTTACTTCGGCATTAAATATTGTTCAAAATGTGCTACGCTAAATTTAGTTGGACTATCCTGGTATTTTTGGTGCTCTTCACGGTGGTTACAGGTAAACAACACAAAATATCTTGATCTCGAAAAATATCTAAGATATGCCGTTAAAAATAAAATGCAATATTTCTTATACTTGTCTCTGAAAAGTATGCAATATATTTACTCTGGTATTTGAAATTTTGTAACTTACATTTTATGCTTGCATATTAAACAATTGCATTTATATTTCTGCTGTTGATAATCCAAACAAGGTCAATTTAAAAACAATTCATTTGATTGGATTTTGAATATTTAAAAATTTGAAAAATAAAGGAAGGGGCAGCTATTTTTGACTCCCTTGCAAACATAAAACTGTGTAAAAGTAAGATATGTTTTTATGCAATAACTCGTTTACGCTCTTTGAAATTCTGCCATTAGAAGCTGACAAAGTTGTTTCAAGTGGACAAGATTTGGTCAATATGTTATATGTATAGATAGATACTTTCTCCTTGTTGCGGGTTTTAACTCAAAGCTTCCTTAATTTAAATTTCCAGCTATTTTCAAAATAAATAATTAAAAGTTAATTAATTAACTTACACATTGGTAACAATGTTCCAGTCGAAACTTGTTCTGGCAGGAGGGGTATCAGGCTCCTGCGTGGAAATGATGAAGAGTATCCGCCTGAAGTTCGATAAGAGATTTTGCATGGGATAACAATATGTTTAATTGCAAAGCGTTTGACTTACTCAAAATTAGGCGCCTTGTCTAGATCTCTAATAAAGAATGAAGCAGCGAAGTGTTTCTAATAAAAACTCTTAAGATTTATTCATAATTCAATTTATATTTATTTACATTCAAATGTTTTATTGACATTTCGTGAGACATTTTAAAAAGCTTTAAGCTCTAAATATTAGTTTTAAGTAATATATAATTTAATTTACTGGAATAATTGAAACATGCACATTTTTGAGGCACCTAAAAAGCCACAGTATTTTTTTTACGGGTTTTCATAAATATATTCGAGCTCAAGAGTGTGCTTCAATAAATAATTATGCAAGTCTACAATTTCCCGTTAATATGACAATGCGTCATAGCGAAAAGGCCTTCTTAGAATTTCCCACAATAATGTGTGCCGACGGGGCGCAACGGATGCGTATCAACAGGGCCATAAAAATACCAACTACCTTATTAACACATATTGTTATTTCAAATTGTAATGCGCATTATCTATTTTATGCACATTTTCCTGTTGCTCTTTGATCGCTGTTGTGCCACGCCCTTTTAGTTAAACCGGCCCAGTGGTTGGGTTTCTATAATTTTCACGTTACGTTGTCACCTGCGTCGATTGTCAGCCAGGAACGCGGCATTCAAATACCTACCTGCAAGTCCCGATGCCCCGACGATTTTAATTGCTGTCGTAAATTAATCCAAACTGCGTGCCAAATAACAACAACAGCAACAACAAGCAACAAACAACTATAACAACACAGCGGAAAAACAAAATCGTGTGAACCACTCAAGCTGTGCCGCTGCCTGCAGGCGGCAAATTGTCACCACGCTGCACTCTTGTGGGTGGTTGTGGCTTGGCTTGGGCAAAGCTTATCCCCGCCGGCTACCAGCTACATATCAGGGCAATCGTGATAGGCATAGAGACCCGAAAAAACCGGTTTAGATTGCAGCCATTGCGGCGGCAATTGCCTTTGAAGCGAATCTCAGATAGTGTATTCGACCAGGTGCATTGGGCTAGGTTCAGGTTGACAGATTACGCTTGCCTAAAACTGTTGATTATATTGAAAAGGACATTAATCATGCTCTACAATAGGCTTGTCTTAGCTAGTTTCAATCGATTAGGCCGTGAAGTAGGACAAAGAATACAATATATTAGCATTTAGACTCTTCATCAAACAGTCTCGATTGTGGTTCGAATTGCAAACAAGAATTCTAAAGATTTCATTTTTTTATTAAATATCTAAAATATCAAATAATTATAGGCAAGTACTCAAGGGTCTAGCTCAATACTTTTCCATCCCACTTTCCTTATAAGCAACCATCTTCCTTTTAAAATAATGAATACAAATGCTTTTAATTCCAGGAATTAGTAATATTCCCTGCGCAATACTTAAATGTATTTTTAAACCTAAGTTAGATCTTACCCAAAGCAATTATACGAAACAGGTTCGGTTAAAAAAGTGTTAAAAAAAGCACCAGCTAAGAATGTGTTTTTTTAATAGCCTTATTTGAGAAATGCAGTGATTCGCCTGTCAAAAATAAATGTCAACATTTATTTTCGGGGACAATTAAAAATAGCGTTACTGCCCAATGGCGTAACACTTTGAAATTATACGTGCGACTTTTGCGGGGCTATTAAAAAAAAAAGAAATTACCCGGCAAAGAGGGTCAACGCCAACGCCAACTGACCACTCGTTGTTGGCCCATTAAAGTGGATGAGCACGTTAATTAGACGTTTGGAAGAAGTCCTCTCGCTCTCGCCTTTTAATGACAGCCCCTTCGATTAGACGCCCGAGCAGAGGCTATCTCTGATGGCCTGGCCTGTCAACAAAATGCGCGCCCGGCAACAATTAATCCACGGTTTAAGTAATTGACAAATGATTACACGTCTGACATATGGCGGCTGGGAGGCGCTGGCAACAGTTAAATAGGGCGTAATAGATATAGAGTCATTCGGCTCATCGAGTTTTTTTTTGTTGTTTCTTATCAATGAGCCTAGCGCTGGGGCAGCCATGGCTTATGCAAGGGACTTACGGCCAGTGCAGCACATCTGCGTCACTTTGTTGCCAGGAGATGCTCCTGCTCGAGTTGCTGCATGTGCGAATTGCGTAAACTTATCCTGGTGTCGCAGCTGCTCTTGTGTTGATTTTTTGACGCCTCGTGCTGTGACATGTGAGCCAAGCTGAAGTCTTTTGTGTGCACGCCTGACTTGGCCATCCATTTGTGCGATTAGTTTTTGGTCACACAATGAAATGCAGCGCCAAGGACATAGCATAATAGCTCTCCCTCCTCCTACCCCTAGCCCTCTTCGTGCCCAGCGTCCTCTTTAGCTGTCCCCAGCCTTAGCTTAACCAAGCACTCCATGCCAGCTGAGAGCTGCCTTCAACGCATTACTCAGGTGTACGCTTATTACCCGCCGTAACATACGACTTTGTAATGGACTATATTTATCATAGGTCGGAGCATTATATAAAAGCAAATGCAACAGTGACAATAACAACAATGAATGGCTATTGCCAGCATGCCGAAGTCTGAACACTCTTTTTCTGACTTGTGCTATATGACACCTAGGTATATACTTTTCGTAATATCTGGGCTTGGTCAAGAGAAAAGTTTGTCAATAGAGCTACATGAAAGATTCAGCCTATTTTAATAAGATATTCCTAAAATATTAGGAGCGTAGTTAATCAGGAAAGCGGCAATACAAGTTATACTTTCTTATACAATATTTGAAGAAGTTGCTATAAAAGCTATATAGAGGGTCGATAAGATTTATCTTAATGCAAGGAGCATAAGGCCAAGTTTCGGATAGGAAATCTTAAGGGACGAACAGAAGCTAACTTTCGAACGATCGTTCCTTTAGCTATATGGCACACTATATGACATAATAGGGCAAATGGGATCTGACGGAACTATGCAAAAGCTTCATACTGGTAGCTGTAAAGCTGACGGAGAAGTTGGCATAGACACATGACTATATTATACATTTTGTGAGAAAGTAAGCTAACCCTTTAGAGAGAAGGGTATAAATGGAAAAATAACTGTACAACGGGAACGGCAGCAGCATCCACATTAACTTCTTGGCAACCTTTAACTTTTTAAGCCACCTGCCACGCAACCGCCCCCACGCGCTGTAGGCTTCTGTGATCAATGCAGCTCAGCGGGATGTTGGCAAAGAGTTCGTGGGGGATGGCGGTTCTGTGTGTCATAAATTCTTTTGGCTAGCTTAACTCTTCAGTGCCTAGTAGAAATGATGATGATTTATTAAATAAACATTATTTTATATTTACTTGCAGGCTCCTGCCTGGAATTTGGACACTCGTGCTGGGGTGGTAAGTCTAAAGTCAATTTGACGCCTAGTTAAAAGCCAAATTCAGCTGACTTTCTGTATCTCTATCTTTGGCATAGCACATGGCAAGCGCTCGGGCAACAGGGTGGCACTTGCGGCCAAGCAGGTGAGTTCCTATCGCAGCTAATTCCGCATTGTCATGAAATACATATGCTAAGCCGTCATAAAGCAGCATTATCGAGCTAATCTTATCCATAACATATAACCCTATTTAGATTTATAGCTCGATGAAATTGCGCGGCTTGAGCTAATTTATTGCTGCGTGTCAATTGTGAAATTAATTAGAACGGAAATAATCCCCCTCTGGATGGGAACACAAATTCAAACAATTAGTAACAATTAAAACTATTTTATTAAATTAAATTAATAATATCTTTTTATTGAGACCTTCGCCTAAGACTTCCAACATAAATCGGAAAATATAGATAACACGTTTCTTTTAGATAAAAACAAAGCAATCTTTCAGCTTTGCCATATACTTATCAAACATGAACAAGTTTAAATGACATTGTAAGATCTATGAGAAGAAACGAATCCCGATTCTTTTTCTCTGTTTTTTTCGTATGATCTTGCCAGATGGCTTGATTGCATTAAGAAAGTCTCTTAATGTCAAGGAAACCTGGGTTCGCTTTAACCTCTTACTCTCCTCCCTTCTCTTCTTTTAATCTTCTCTACGCGTAAAGCCCCTTTAACACGAGATATTATTGGCCTGTAGCCGAATGGTCTAACAAGATAAATATCCTCAAATGCGGGTATATTCGTAAATAGTTTATTTCGCAAAGATGATTTTAGATCTAATAAACATTTAAGAAAACTTTTGTTATTAAGCGATCTAAAGTGATTTTCTGATGGGCTGGCCTAATAATTATTATGTTGAGGATAAAACATTTATTTTCGAAGACCCGAACAAGAATTTGCTGTCATTTCAAATTTCTGCACTCTAGCTCTTGAACCCTGAAAGATATGAAGTTTTCCGATTTGCCTTAGCATTTTAATGAGACACGAGCCATAAAATAACTTAATTATTATTATATAGTAGTCAGATGTTTATATAATAAGTATACGACCGATAGTTCCAATGGCAACTATATAACAAAGGGATCAGGCTGCAAGAAAGGGCCCTCGCCTTTTGCCAGGCGAGAATATAATAATAATAATAAATAAAAAGGAGAATATATTATTTTAATAAATTAGGCTTCGAGCTCTAATTGACATACTAATGTCTTATTCCTTTTTTTAATATTATCATAGCCGTCACTTCTTGTCGACAAGCTAGCCGAGCAGCTCTACAACAACAACAACAATGAGAATTCCATTGACGACAATGGCAACAACAACAGCAATGCCAAAAACTACAACTTGCCACTTACCGCGTCCGCTCTGGCGCCACCAAGTGTCGAGGCGTCGGCAGCGGAGCGCACTCGAGATGTGAACGATGCGAAATGGAGGCAGCTGCTCCGGCAGCATCGCTACCAGCTGAGGCAAATGCAGCGGCAGTTCGATGCGAGCGATGCGGCCGAGGGCTGGCGCAAGTTGCAGCAGGCGTTGGTCGAGGCGGAGCAGCGGCAGCAGCAGCAGCAGCTGCCAATGGGCGACTTCTTTGAGCTTAAAAAGTGAACTTTGACCCGCGAATAAGAGACATTACATTTACACATAATCACACGCATAAACAAACATAAACTAAATGAAATGATGCAAATTAAGCAAAAACAATTAAACGATATTTATTCCATCATTCGAGTGATCCAAGCTCGCGTCTCATTGCATGCTGCGGCCCAATTAAAGAACTACATATATACTTATATATATATATATATATATTAATAACAAAATATTAATTAAAGGTTAAAGATCGTCGCTTGGCGATCTACACGCGAGTTGCGCATACGACGCGTTGGCCAGCAAGCAATAGATACAAGATATATGCATAAATCTATTGTATGAATAAGCAAAATTAAATGTTAATGAAAAAACGTTTCGCTTTTGTTGTTTTTAATTACTTATTCTTTTGTTAACATTATAACTATTACTAACGCGCAAATAACCACACTATATGCATAATTCTTTCTTTTACTGTATTGCGTGCACAATATTGCGTCATTGGCTGGATGCCGCAATATTGCCCAGATCAGAATTAAAATTCCAAATTTTTACTCAAATTCAATATCAACTTCATGTTCAAATTAAATTGTACTTAACCTATGCATAACACACGTTTTAATAATAACAAATAAAATTTACAAGCTAGAATGCAAAGCAATCGACTCTCTCTCTCTCTTATCTGAGCTGATCTGATTTAAGCCTTGATTTTGGCGGGCAGCTGGAAGCAAGCGACATCGCCCTGCTTGTCGCCCAGTCCCCAGTGAATCTCCAGACTGACCGTGGGATAGACGGGCAGTATCTTAAAGCTGTTCTTGTACGTGTATGTCTGGCCCGCCTTCAGTGGGCAGCCGAGCTTGTGCTCGCCGGACTCATCGTAGATGTGCGGACAGGCGCTGGTGCCATAGTAGCCGGGAAAGGGCAGTGGCACATCCAATATGATGCCCTGTATGTCTGAGGTGAGCTCCGCAAAGTCGCGCTCCGGCCTGAGCTTCATCGTGATGCTGGCCTCCGTGTTGCGCTTCAGTATGCACCTGCTCTTGGGGCAATTCGAAATGGTCACCTCGCCGGCGGACAAAGCGCGTGCCGTGGCTAAGATGTGGGCAACAAAAAACGGTTAAGAGCTGCTAAAGGATTACTTGAATTTCGGATTACTTACATTTCGGGCATTGTTTCACTTCAGTACCCGCGGCCAGACCGAGCAGCGCGACGCCGATCAAAAGTAGCGCAGAATTCATGTTCATTCTGTCGACGAGAGGGAATAAAGACTGTAAGATGTGAAGTCAGTTTTAATTATAAGTCGTAGCTCACTGTTGTGCTCAGCTCGCTAATTGATTTGCAACTACTTTGGGCTTGGCCGAAAGCTTAGCTCACAACAGAGCCAAAAAAAAAATAAAAAAATAAGCAACGTCTCAGTTAAACCGGTTCAAAGTTTGAACTGCTAGCGAAAGATCGACCTTGACTTAAAAACGTAGCTACAAAATCTGTGCAGTTAACGATAAGTGGAAGCTGCGCTGAAAATTGCAAGTATCTTTGAAATACTTTGATGATGCTGCACTAGAAATCTGCAAGATACTTAAGACACAAGACACCAAAGCATCCGATACTTATTTCGATTATGCACTTGTCAAAATATTTTAGATACTTGAAACATTGCTTGAAGCGAATGAGTTTAAAATGAGATGCAGGTATCTAAAAGATACTTCTGCTATGCAATCTATAGATACAGCAAAACAAAGCAATTGCTTTTAAGCTGTGAGTATGCATATAATATAAACAACTTGTAATTAAGATTAGATTTGGTCATTTTCGTCGAGAAATATATTTTTGATAATTTAATGAGGCTGCTCTAAATATCCTTCAGATACATCAAACCCTTCTTTTAATAATTTGTGTACAAATTAACTTTTACATTGTTTTAAATTTGAAATCAAGGATTATTCTCAGATATCTTTAGCTTTGTTTTATAATTTATAATTTATTCGAGTTAACATCTAGCACAAATATACTTTAAGCTGCGCAATTTGGATGTACATGCTAAGTATATACAACTGTCCAAAGTCTAACGAAAAGGTCTACCGACTCTGGCTCTGGGTTCGCATTCACTTTTATCTAAATAGTAAGCTATCTTTGGGAGAACGGAGAACACATATACATATAAATATAAGGCCTAGAGAAGACAAAATTTCACATTCACTTCGCGCCAGAAATTAAGCTACAGATACATCTGCTGCAGTCGGCCTTAAGCTTTCGTTTGAAGTATCTGCAACTAGTTTGCATTTAATTAAACAAATTAAAATAACATGCTTACAGCTTGTAATTGCTTGTCAAGATTGGTTTTGTTTCTTTGGTGTCAAGTTAATTTCTGTTGGCACTACACCGCGTAGATACAAATATATTTCAAGCTGTGAGCGCGACTGTTGAACGGCAACTGAGCGTGTGTCGCCGTGCACTGAAACTATATACAAAGCCAGTTCGGGCAGATCGTGTCGATTGAGCGCTAGCTCTTGGCTGACTAATCGGGCGATCTGTCCGATTTCTGGCGTCTGCTTTGTATGCGTGTGGCATTACAAGCAGAGTCTCAGTCTGGAGACTGGAGACTCGTTATATAAGCAATTTGAGCAATTGGTCGCTTACTTGGCGTACAGGGATACGTTCGCTTGGAGTAGTCTTAAATTGGGTGCATTCGTGACGTTCTGGTGTCAGTTTGATTAGCTCATTGTTAATTCTAAAAGCTCCACTCAACGGTTGCACACAACGACAGATCACTGTAGCTGCCTGTGCTGTGTATCTATTAGATGCGTTAATTTGCACTCGCCAAACAGCGCAGCTCGACTCGCTGTGCCAACCTAACAGTGCACGGCAAGTAAGTACTTCCCTAAAGCCTATTAAGGTCCGAACACTACTGGGAAGTGCTAATGACTGGCCATGGCCAAGCCCAAGCTGATTGTGTGAGCTCTCTGCTGCTTGAAACTAAAAGTTATTATAGGCCAGATGCCATGAGAAACTGTAAACACAATTGCCAGACGCAGTCTCAGCTATACTCTATAAAATGACAAAGACCTCATAGCATTCATATGCAACCCATTTAAGGAAATCTATCGTTTTTATATTCAAACACTTTAAATGCTAATTCAAACACTTCAAATTAAGCCCATTTGCGAAAGCTTTTTAAGTATTTGTAGCCACTTTCAACTTTGTAAGCACCCCATTCGATCGAAAATAATTAAATCGCAAGCGGGCGCTATACTCTTTTCAAATATACCCTTCCAGATGAAAGAGGGTACTCAAAATTATTTTATTCTTGATATAGAAGAAGTCAATTATTAATTTTCTCTCATTCTGTTATCTAGCTGCCATAGTTTGGATCTTTTCAAAATTAGGTTTTTAATTGAAGTTTATATAATTTCTTATACTTATTTTTTATGAGAAACAGAAATGTTCTTCGAGCTCTTAAGATTTGTGAATTACAGTTCAACAGATAAACTTCTTCTAAAATTAGAAAAACTTGTTCCATTTCTACTTTAAATACACAGAACATATTTTAGGGAAAACCTTTGGAATTTTAATTAGAAGACTTTAGAAAATAGTCATCAGTCAGAACTGTGACTTAATAATAATTATGTCTGGAGAAGTGAATTTATTAACAACTATTCTTTATTTCTATTTTATAATATTCTTTTTTTTCTATCAATAATAGCATTAGCCACAATTTAATAGTTTTTTTTATTGTAGATAATTATATACTTTCCCTAGCTGTTCTGATAAGAGAAATGCGAAGTTTCGTTTATTTTTCTACAACTGAAATAGTCTAAATACATAAAACAATTTCCGTTTGTTTTTCATTTATCGGTTTCTCTTTAGATATCTCTACCATGTTGATTGCCCTCTATATTGAAGTGCTCTCTACTGTATGTGTAAGGAATGTTCTAATTAGATAATTATGACGAAATGCGAACTTTTTTTCTTTTCTGACAACTGAAATAGTTGAAATGCGCAAAACATTTCCTTCTTTTTAAATTAAGCTACACTTTTTCCGTTGTCGACTCTATTTAAGTGCCCTCGACTGTACCTGTATTTATTTAAGTCTCTTCTGATCAGATAAATATAATGCAATAGCTTAAATACTTCAAGCAATTTCCCTCTTAAACGGTTTTTATATAGATAATTACACTTTTTCCGTTGTCGACTCTATTTAAGTGCCCTCGACTGTACCTGTATTTATTTAAGTCTCTTCTGATCAGATAAATATAATGCAATGCAAACTTTAGTTTATTTTCCACAACCGAAATAGTTTAAATACTTCAAACAATTTCCCTCCTAAACAGTTTCTATATAGATAACTACACTCCTTTCGTAGTCGACTCTATTTACGTGCTCTCGACTGTAGCTGCCTTTGTGACGGGTCTGTTCTGATCAGAGAAATGAAAGGAAGTGCGAACTTTACCACAATATATAGTTTTTGCTTAGTTACGGCTACGGCTGAACGCGTTTAATATGCAGCACATGGCATTTAGATTTAAGTTGAAAGCAAAAGCTACACCACCTACTTCTTCCTCTTCTTCTTCTCTGATACGTAGCTAGGAAGTTAAATAGGCTCGGGGCGTGACGATGACGTTGCTGACGTCGGACGTGCACACCTTATAAACGCGATGGGTTCAAAACAGTTCGATCGATCATCGGCATTTAGAAAGTGGGCCCAGATCTTGATCTCGATCTTGGAATGGAAACACAGCAACGGCTCGACTCGAATTTCTTAGGCTACTCACTTGGCTGGGCGCTTTAGGCGACTGCTGTGATCACAGTTTGAGATGCAACTACAAAATGGAAACTGAAAGCGAACACTGCACCAGCTTTAAATGGGAGTTTGAGAGACAAACCGACTGAATGATGACTATGGACGGACCAACCGGCCGGACTGAGCCGGTTTAAGCTCGGCTATTTTTGTCGTCAGTTTTACACACTTTACACAATATATGTTTGTTGTTGCTATACCCTGTACACATACAGTTCCAAATGGGGCATATAAGACCTATTGAAGTGTATAGAGATAGAAAAGTCCAAATTCCTACTTAATGTAAGACATATATAAAAGTTCTTCTAAGGTATCCTAAGATCAGGTGTAAATTATTGTTTTTTATGATTTCATACATACCTCGAGTGAAGAATCCTACGATAAGGTGTTTATACATATGTTTATTCTTAATGAATCTAATGACTAGAATTGTGATTTGTTAAAATCTAGAGATCCCATTTTAAACATTTTATATACATTTTAAAATATACTATGAAAATTGACAATATTTTCATCTTGAATACAGGTCATCTAGTAGTTGAGCATACCCGATAAGTGCCATTTTTTTACGATTTTGCTACGCATTTGACAGAATTGAATATTTCCGGCCTTTTGTCAAATACTATGCAATCCACTCACACATACAAAGCCATTAGTGCGTTCGTTTGTGTGTGTGTGTGTGTGTGCGCTTGTGTGTGTGCGGTCAACGTACAACCTGAAAACTAAAAGAAAAACAAAATTGATTTAGAAAATGTTTAAGGCATTTTTTATTGTCTTTGCACTTCGCATACAAAATTTAACTGGAAATTGAACTTGATTACGGGAAATGTTGAGCAGCCGCTGTTTTTAGTATACATTTTTTTATATATTTTGTTTATTTCAAAATGTGGTATCCTGTTACTCTATGTTACATTTGAATTTCCGACTGCGAATACGGTTGAAAATATTTCAAAACTTTTTATTTGTTACATATAGTTTTTTAAATTACTACTGCCGGAAGCCAAGTTAGTTTGTGGAGACGCACACAAACTTTTATATGCTTGAATATAATAGCTGCATGTCTTTTTAATTTGTTTAAGTTTATAGAACTAACGGCAACAAATGGGGTTAAATGTTTATGCTGAATAAAGCAGTGCAACGGCTAACAAGCAGTGGACGCAGTCGGTTACGTTTTGATTTTGTGCGCTTACGTTGCTCAAATCTGCGTCAACGTCTTTCGGATTTAACGAAACTGTAAAATATAAAATACTTTTACTATATTAATTTCATCACATAGAGCAACAAATAAGCGAGAGTCGTAAAACGTACCTTTCATTTATTTAATTGAAATTTGGTTATCTAATTTTCTCAATTTTGTACTCATGATAATATAGTAACACTTTTGACAGTGCTTAGTAGCAGTATTTTTCGTTATATTATACTAGTGCCGTATAACATGCCCATTTTGAGTACAACAGTTGCCTGTGCTAACATTAACATTGTGCAACACTGTAACTTTTCTGCAGTAAGAGGAAGACTCCATAAGCAACAATATCGGAACGCGCACAATACACAAAATCTATTGGAATAAAATAAGCAATATTTGTGTGTCGTGCGTTCTCACGCGCGGGTGTGTTGATTATGTGATATATTTATAATCAGTGCATCAAACGTGAAACTAAGATTAGCATACGCAACCGAATAAACAACCAATACAGACACCATATGCAGGAGCACACAGCACGCACATCCGTGAAGTCTGTGCTGCTGCTGCTGCTGCGGCTGCTGTGGACAGCCGTAAACAATGAATTGGTGCAAGTAAATCAAATAGTGTTCAATTATTGTTTTTAATATAACTATTATGTGGTGTGCTTGTTGCCGTCTGCGGCGCGCAACATGAAACGCTGCATAAGACAACGAAAACAAAAACAAACTAACAAGGCCAGCAACAACAACAACAACGATACAAAAAACGCGCAAATTCATATGTACAGACAAGAAGCAAAAAGAAGCATAACAAGAAATATTGCAACAAAACAAAGTGTGTGCAGGAAAAAAAAGAAACAAACACAATCAAAATTACGTGGTACTTAGTTAAATACCCAAACAGCCAGACGTACTGTACATGCGCTTCGTCGTCGCCCGCACGCCATCACTTTCAACATAACTGTGCATAGCAAAGGAGTAGCAGCAGCAATAACAACTACAACAACTCCAACAGCAACATTAACAGTAAGAAGAAGAGCTGCCGTAAGCAACCACCGAAATGTCGTCGCTCAAGGTTGCCGTAAGGGTTCGCCCCTTCAACTCACGGTAAGTGCGACAAGCAGTGCCCTTTGCATTCGAATCGGAATTCGTATACGTATATGCGTTCCAATTGGAATTGATAACACGCTACAATTGTGAACGCCCCTCGATTGGCCTGTTGCGCATCCCCTTCAAATCTACTAGCCTTTTCTGAAAAAAAAAACCATTCACTGCAAAACATTTGCGCTGCTGACGTGCCAATTTATTGTTGTTTTTTTTTTTTAATTGTATCTGTTTTTTGGTTTTTGGCCAACAAAATGGAAGCAAGCTGGCAAAGAACGTTGGCCTAAACTTGCCCAACGGCTACTTAAAACCGCATTAAACAAAATTTTTTATGGTGTGTATGTGTGTGTGTGTGCGTGTGTCTATC